CAGTGTGTAGATAAAGCAGTTTCGCTGGCTGGTTTATTTACTATGAAAAGATTTTGGTTTGCAGATACTTTTTGTTTGCAGCTGCTGTTAATTATGATACTGTTTTACATCTAACAAACAGCATGAACAGGATTCATTTCAGATTTCAGAAATGTCAACTCTTTGATAAATTTACTTGTTTTCATCTTACGTACAAGCAGTAAAAATACAATTTGCAGTAAAAACACAATTTACAAAAGCATAAAGAATGCAGCAATAGTGATGCTCTAGTCTTGTTTGTTCTTTTACTTTTCAGCACCACCAAAGTTTCTTCAGCCATTTTTATCTGATAAGAACATGCCATCTGAACTAGAATACATGATAGTTTCCTTTGATGAGCCTCATGTATATCTTCGTCAGTGGAACGATGAGTCAGTGTTCCAGGAGATCCAGTTTTCGACTCAAGCTGACTGTAAACTTCTGGAGTGTCGAAATGTGACCATGCAGAGTGTTGTGAAACCTTTCAAAATCTGGGGGCAGATTGCTGTTTCCAGCAGCACAGCAGGAAGGCTGTTCGACTGCACGATAATGGTTGACCCTGTTTTCATCAGCTTTGGCCAATATGCACTTCATTCTCTAAATACAGCAATTCAAGCTTGGCAACAGGTATGCAAATACAACAATGAGAAAAAAATAGCTACCTATTGTGTTTAATTTAATAGCAAATTAGAATATGGCCTGAGTTTCAGTGAAACTACATGGATTTATATCAGAATAATCAAAACCCTGGTCTTGAAATGCAAAATATTCCATTAATTTATGAAAAGGTGAGTGCTGCATGGTACATCAGCTCAGCTCAGTCTGAGCAACAGCACATATTGTTTCCAGCTACTACTTCCATCCTTATTGAAGTTCAACACTAGTTTCACATTACATTCTGTGCAAGCAGCATTAATGGCTGAATCCAGTCCCAGGATAAGAAACTTGCTTCTGCAATGACCCCTCAAAGGCCTGTAATTCCCTTACTCCACTATAGCCTTGAAATCAAATCATTCTCTTCATCTGCCTGAAGACCTATGTGGAGCCTGGGAATTAATTACCTATCATGGCACTAGAATAACAAAGCCCCCAAAAAAGGATAAAACATCTGTTTTATATCAAAAAATTCTTTTTTAAGGGCATTCCATGGTTTTCTTGTTGCAAAAGGACATTCATAAAACAAGATCTAGTGTGATTTAAATCTTCACAGCTGGCTCAAATATCAATGTGAACAAAAATCTTTGTAGCTCCAATTTCTGTTTTTTGTCATATTTTGAACAATGCTTTTAATAAAAAACAAACATAGAAAGTATAAGAGAGTCCTTGGTAGGCTGTTTAAACCCAAAATATTTCTGACTTAGTACTAGTCCCTCATCTAAGACATGTGTGGCAACTACTGCAAAATGGCCTTCAGAAAGGTCAGTTTCCTCTTAGGATGGGGGGAAAAAAAGATCTCTCAGACATAACTATACATATAAATAAAATATGGTGCATAAATATTTAAATGTTTTAAACCACATCACAGTGTGAATGACTGACTGACTACTCTGTGCCTTGAAGGAATATTCTGAGTTGAAAAAAATGGAATTGTATATTTGATTAAGTAAAGCCATATGTCGCATGGTATATTGCTGACAGGTACATTCTATGAATAGTTGGTACTGATTTATACATGGATTTGGCAATGTTAACATGAGCCACAGGAGGATATACTTCTGTAATTGTTGCTGTAATTTTCTCGTTTCCTCCCATGTCAGGGGTACTTGCCACCATGTTCTGATGTGGTGGGTACCTAGCCCAGAGTGTTTGAGATTAAAAACTTGCATCGCTTTGAAATTAGGGAATAGTTAACACGCAAGTGGGTTCAAAATGGCTTATTAAATTAATTGTTGCCAAGATGTTTTTTATGTGACTTTATCTCCAGTTTGAGGGGGTTGGCATGCCCTGAATGGGGAGGGAATACATTTCCCAATAATAAGCATTGTTTGATGTTTGCTGTTCACACAAAATGCAATATAAATGCTAGAACTAGAAGCATGAATTTAATAACTGGGAAGAGTTATTTGGATTCTCCACATATTTTTAACTGGGTTAAAATCTGCAACAAATGATGTTGGAGTCAGTTGACAGACAGATGAAGCATGAAACAATTTGGCCATGCACCTTTAGGTCAGGAGTTCAAAATTAACAGAAGCCTCTGTCAGTGTCTTTGTTTCCTAGATATGGACTGATTGCTGTTGGAGGGATTTTTGTTGTCATTATTATTTTTGGTTGTTTTGTCGTTGTTGTTGTTTTTGGGGTTTTTTTTAATTAAGTTACGGTGAACATTTTGAAAGTACAATAAGCCTAAAAAATACCAGGCTTTATATTTCTAAGTCACATGCTGAAAATCTGAGAGGATTAACACTTTTTAAAAACAGTTTCCCCTCTTGACATATTTCACTGTCTAATCTGAAATCCCTGTTTAACTACAAGCAGTAACTGGCTAATGCATATCTAAATACAAAGCTAGAGTAATGGGGTTAATAATTAGACCTGGACAAGGAACTTCAATATTTTTATTAATTTAGTGTTATTATTTAATAATAACACAAAGACTATCAAGTGGGATAGAAAATGCATGTCTTCTGTGAATATACTTTGGTGGAGTGTGTGGTATTTTTTTCCCTTTATTTGGGCATTTAAGCCTTCATGAATTTACAGCCTTAGTGCTTTGAGGTATCTAGAGACAGAGAGTCAGCTGAGAAAACAGCTCCCCAGGTATGGTACAAAGTGTTATTTCTGGGAAAAAGCTTTTCCTTTGTGGTCTGACATTGCAACTGTTTTCCCAAACTCTTCAGAAGTTAGAAAAGCTCCTGGTTAAACCTGTTTTAGACCACTAGAACCTCTTTTCCTCAAGGTCTGCATGGTGCTTAACCTTTCCATTGGCAGCTCTGTAAGTTTTCTTAATGGGCTGGGATCAGTCAAAGTGACATCCTTGATCACAGTAGTTTCCCCATCTTTCTATAATAAGGACAAAGAACAAAGGGAAAAGGACACAGAAGGTTTCTAGCTGATAATGCTGACATTACTATGAGAGTGGAGTTTAAAGAATCATAAGGAAACTGTTCCATTCTCTTAGAGGGGCTTCAAGGGAGATAAATTGCAGAAGACTTTCTGAGACAAAAAAAAAATTAGTAGGTGATAGAGTGTGTGTCTGTGTGTGTACTTGAGACTGAGAGAAAATTCTTGCACAAGTCTTCAGTAGCTTGTGAAGCAAAATGAAAATAACTTTGTACATATAAAGAGGCCTAGGCTTTTATGGTGTGGGTTTTTTCCAGATCCAGAAATGCTTTGAAATAGCTGTGAACTGAGACACAAGCAAAAAGTCCTGAGACAGGGAAAGCCTGGTGACAAGTATTATGTGGGATGTTTTCCCCTCTTTCTGAATAGAATTCACAAAATACTTGAAAGACCAATAAAGGAGAGACACTTTCCAGGCCTCTCTGAGAAAAAAGAACAGCTGAAAAATGATCTAAAGAGGGGCAGGAAATTGTCCCCCAGAAACTGACCCTAATCTGTGTCTGATTCAGACTGTTAATCTTTTGCTGATGCATTTGATTTGCTGTTTTAATTCAGAGAGGGATTTTTTTTCTAGTCCACGCTTAGGTGTTTTCAGCTCCTGGAGTCATCAGTCAGCCCTTCAACATCATTGCCACACAAATAGCCTGGTTCTATTTGGTGTTATTATGCCTGGTTTCTCTAGACATTCTTTTATCAATCAAAATTTCCTCACTCCATCCTTTTGCTGACTCTTTTTTTTTTCCCCCCACTCCTTTTCTACTTACTCAGAAGCTTCTACTGTCAGACTTCAGCAGCAATGTAGGACCCAGTTCCCTCTGATGGGTACAGGGTGCTGCTGCAGATCCCCAAGGACAAAGAAGCATGGGTGTCCAGTGCATAGTTGCCACACTAAGCTAAAGCATCCTCAAAACTTCCTTGATGTTCCTTTAGTCATGTGTTGTTATCAAGACTGGAGGCGTCAGTAGCTTTCTCTTAAGACTGGCAGCACAGAGCAATGCCCTGTTATGCAAATCTTGGTGTTCTCTTGGTTAAAACTTTGGAACTCTTATAAAATGGAGCCTAATATACCTCCTTCACTTAACTTTGAAAACTATTGTTGTTAAAAGCATTGGATTCTAGTAGCAAATCTAGCTTTCACGACTAATGATTAATGGCAGTCATTCATCAGCATCAAAATGTGTGCAAATAATTCCTGATAGGATAACATTCCCCAAGCAGAATTTAGAAGTTCTATGCATGCCAAAAACTCACTGGATTCTCTTTCCCCTCTGGGAAATACAAAAACCTACAGTTTTTCTTTACTTTGTTGAAACTAAGTTAGCTAGTAAGGTAAAAAGAAGGAAGTTCAACATCTTAGTGTTCTTTCAATACCTGTGTAATCAGCTAGAAAATGTATTGGAGTGAAAAGAAAAAGCTTTTCTTAAATTCCCCTGGGATTGTGTATAGGTTTGACTCTAACAACATGCTGAGCTCTGTGGATAGTAAATCCTCCCTTTTAAAAAGAACATTTTGCAAAGCTGTAACAGGAAAATATATATATTTGCGGTAGACTTATGGGTATGTGGGTATGGCAGCTTGACAGTAAAAAGTCATAGATCCTGCACTAGAAAATGCCAAAATAAACTCTGCACTCTGAAGGGACACTGTAAACATCAGCCTTTAGCACACTCAGATCTGCTACTGAACATGATACAGATATAGTGCTCTGTAATGAGCTTTGCTGCTTGGAAGAAGTGTAGTTTTGGTTATCCTCACCTGACTCCTGTTTCACAAAAGATACCTGATCTTATGCAGAAGAAGTAATGAGATTTGGGAAGAAGGTTTAATCTAAATATTCTCATGCTCATGCTCATGGGTGAATAATATTTGCACAAACACCCCCAGGCAATCATTCTGACACTCAGTTACGAAAGGAATTACAACCTGCCTTGATTGAGGACAAAGAGGCAACAGGCACAAACTAAAACACAGGAAGCATCATGAAACATCTGATCATCATAAAAAACATCTTTACTGTGAGGGTGATCAGTTGCTGGAACTTACCCAGGAGTCTCCTTCTTTGGAGATATTTAAAAGCTCGCTGGGTGACCTGCAGAGGTCCCTTCTAGCCCCAGATATCCTGTGATTCTGCCTGTAGATTCACCTTAGGTTCTTCTGGAGTAAACAGTAGTGATTGTATATTCAAGGATGCTAAGCTGGACATACCTTGCACACTTCTCAGAAAAACTTCCACGTGCATCACCCAGCAATGTGCTACAAGCAGTGTACCAAACTGGTTTTCAAGGATAACTAAGGCTGCATAGGAATCTATGAGGAAATATTTCTTGCTTGGTCTCTGAATTTTTGCAGGCACATTGTTATCAAAGAGCTAAGGGAACTGTATGATTAGACACAGGGAAGGTGGTAGCTTTGTAATGTCCATTTAGAAGGTCCACTGAGAGAACAAGAGGGGAAGCAGAATCAGCTCTCAAAAACCATGGAGGTTCCATGAGTTAGAGAAAACATCATGGGAAGAAAGGATGAGAAATGAGTAGCTGAGCTATGATGTGAAGAGGGAAACCAATCAACAGAAAAATATTGTCATGGAAGCATGCAAGAGAAGATAGGTCAACAAGACGTAGCAAAAACCACAAGAAATTGCATATTTTGTGTTAGAACCATTAAATTGTATAAAGGCTGTCCAAATGTTGGTTTCTTTGAGTAACTGTCGCAGTTGCTAGATAGCTGCTTGTCAGTGGAAGGTGCCCGCCCACTAGTGACTAGGGCAGAGATATATGAGAGATGATCTCCAAATCAAATTGGCAGTCACATTTTGACCTCTCCCATAGAGGGGATTATAATTTGTGCCTTCAGGGATAGAAGACCTGTAGCTGTGGCAATTTTTATGACTATCATATAGTCTCATTGTGTCAACAGAGTGACAAGCAGCCAGACAAAAAGCAGAAAGAGAGGGATGGAAAGATGTTGGAGAAAAGATATTGCAAAATCTAAAATACTTTTTAAACCTGTGATTTATTTTTTTTGCCTATTAAATGGCATGATGCATTTTCAAAGTAGCCTCATGGAGCTGTGAAAATACTCTACTCATGTCTCTTTTTTTTTCCTTTAGTTGTCTTTTCAAGTGATGTGGTATCAGGAAGAAGGGAATCTTCTGCTGATCCATAGCAATATTTCAAAGTAGAAGCAGAAGCTGGGGAAGAGGAACTGTAAATTTGTTGGCCTGAGCACTCAGTTGTCAAGCAATAAGAAACCTCTTTATGCCTCTCTGCTCAGCCTGTTGTACCCTGTCTGCCCTATGTAATGTCATTTCCTACAGAATTTAATGTTGTTGAAGTTTTTACCCAAATTAGAAAATTTAGTTTCATTGTAGTTTTATATCTTTAAGATTTGCATTACGGAAACATAAAGTAAAATATTTTAAGTCTCAGGATGTATTTTGTCAGCCCAGAAACTAGATTTTGCAGAGATTACTATGAGACCAAAGCTAAGGGAAGAGATCTTGCATTTCTGTGTTGTAACAGTCGCCACTGGGCAGGCAGCTGCCAAATGTCCTGCAACTGACTGATTCTTACTGGCTTTCATATCCCTTTTTTCCTTTCAGAACCGATGCCCCGAGGCAGAGGAGTTTGTCTTCAGCCATTTCGTGATCTGTAATGACACCCAGGAGACGCTGAGGTTTGGCCAGGTGGATACTGATGAGAATATTTTGCTGGCTACTCTCCACAGCCACCAGTACAGCTGGCGCTCGCACAAGTCCCCACAGGTATGTCAGAAACAGCCCTTCCAGCATTTGCTGAAGCTGATGGTGGCTTTATGCAATGATTCTTTGGTTTTCTCTGTGGTATCAACTATCTCTAAAGCTCCAGTTCCTTCAGGAGTCACACACTGGAGCTGCAACACAGAGAAAAGGTAAACAAAGTGTGAGAAAAGCCAGAAGTCTTTAAAAGTTACTCAAGGGTAGAATTGGATGTGCACTTTTTGTAAAATGAAGCAGTTGTGTGAAGCTTCTGAAAAAAGGAAAGACAGCTTGCCAGGTTTCTATAACTAAGTGATCCGTGTTTTCTGAGATGTACATTAGAGGCTTGGGGAATTTTTTTAACCAATTGTTTTTACCAGAAGCATCTGTTCACTGAAATGGTTTGCAGAACAGGGTCAAACTGGACAAAGCTCTCAAGTTAGTGTTTGCCTTAAAAAGATTTGAAAATGTCAGAAACACCCCACTTACATAGTTTAAATAATGCAGTTGTTGGGTTATTGGATTTTTTGTTTAAAGGATAAACACTGAAACTGAAATTAAATACTTTTAAACTATCATTGGGAAGTATTTCAATAAAACTGTAGAATCATTTAAGTTGGAAAGACCTTTAAAATCACTGAGTGATTTTAAACCAGTACTGCCAAGTCTACCACTAGACCATGTCCCTAAGTGCCACATCCACACATCTTTTAAAGACTTTCAGGGATGGTGACTCAGCCATTCCCTGGGCAGCCTGTTCCAATGCTTGACAGCCCTTACCATGAGGCAACTTTTCCTAATATCCAATCTAAACCTTCCTGGCACAATTTGAGGCCATTTCCTCTTGTCCTATTACTTGTTACTTGGGAGAGGAGACCAGCACTTGGGTGGTGGTGAAAAACAGACTTCTCATCTTAATTCAAGACAGGACAAGAACTTAAATCTAATTTTAAAAGTGTTTATGAAACAGCAAACCCATTCCTTCTCTTTTCTTAGTATATACCCAGCTCCTGCTGAGTAGGAAACTACAAACCTGTGCCACCCCATTTGCTGAGCAGTAGTCCTGCCCTGAAAATTACTAAAATTTCAACAGGTCTGAGGAGGAACGTAGTGAATGGGAGTTCCTAACTCCTTTAGAGCCCTAGGAAATACCAGTCTTAGCATGTGAGAAAGAAGGCAAATTTTGAATAGTAATTCTAAACAGGAGTTGTGCCCACTTTCACTGCTGACAAGTTTCAAGTTACACTGGAAGGCAGAGATGGCAAATTTACTGTGGTTTTCATTCACATGTCAGCTGATGGATATGCAAAACTACTGAATTTTACATGAATGTGGTAATCTGTGCAGAGCAAAATCTGCCAGAGTAAACAATTGCAGTTGACACTGAAGTCAGGGCATAAGTTAAGAGGAAGCCAAGCTAATAAAGGACCATCTTAGCCCAGCAACAGAGGAGCTGTTATAAAAAGTGTGTGCTGGTGTAATAGTGACAGAGAGTGGGTTTTGGAGACTTTGAAACTCTGGAATACTGTATGTCCCTTTCCATGTTTTAAAAAAAGATATGTTTTCTCATACATGCAAAATGCCTGTGATACCCCATCCCACGGGCGAGCAAACCATGTGGTGACTGCGCTCTGTGCAGCTGGGCACGTGCCAGGGTGTGAGACAGGATCCCCACTCATCACAGGATTACAGGTGTTGTAATTCCCTTTGGTTGTGTGAGGAAGAAAGCTAGCTAAGTGTAACCTATATTTCATAACCAATTATCACTTGCATTTGTAGCAACCATCCAAAATTACATTTAAACCTTTTCATAAATACATGGAAGAAGAAAGAAATATTTAAAGCAATGTAAATAATACCAGAACTAAGTAAGGCTTTCCTCCTAAAAATTTGTTACATCCATTTTCTGGTTACTTACATAAAATTATTCAGTTGTGAGAATCTTCATTTTAGATGTAGTTCTGAGTATGGTGTTGTAGTGGTTTAGAAATATAGAAAAAATTATTCAGTAATGGTGCAAAAAGGAAAGAGTTTTAAAAATTATCACAAGCAAGTGAAAAGTTGAAGAGTTAAAATGACATCTTATTATTGATACTTTCTCTTAATTGCAAATGAACTGCTAAAAACCACCATCAGAATATATGGCATTAGACATCCAGCACCTGGAAAACTTACACTGTGCTTTCAGTCACAGGCTTGAGCACTGCAAAACGTTTTCATGGCTGCTATGTAAGTTTCTTACTAAATGAAAAGCAAAAGTGCAGGATGAAAGGCAGAAAAGTCCATCAGAAAACCAAATCACACTTAAGGGAGTGGGTGAGGTGACAGTGGAAGCTTCAGATTCATTTTCCAGATATTCATTCTTCAGCTAACAGTTGGTGATGTCAAAGGGTTTCCCCATTCTGTATTGCTCTGATCAGATTTAGATTCACTGAAAAATTGGGCTGATAAAAAGTCAGCAGTGTCGTGATGGATTCCCAGATCCCAGGAGATGGCAAAGCTAACAGCTGACTCCTGACTCAACCACACTGCTGGCCAGCAGGCTCTTCTAGTAGGGAGGTTATACTTCCCTTGTCCCAACCTTTGGAATAATTTCAAGATGATTTTTGCTCTCTTAACATTTTTGAACAGCCATGTCTTGCCGGGAAATTTAGAGACTAAAAAACAGCACTGAGGTAATTTCACGGAAACTATATGGGAGCACAGGCTTTCTATGCACAGTTGAGATAGAAACAAATTTCCTTTACAATAGTCTTGTAAAGAGAGAACCTTGGCATTCCCCTGTAAGCCTATTCATTTGGTTATTGCCAATACAAGTCATTGTAAATACAGCATTCAGAATGGCAGTTCATCTAACCAGTACAATCCTTAGTCATTTTAAATCATGCAAAACAAGTTTGTTTAAATATTATTACAAATGTTGTCATGTACATCTTTTTAATGATTAATACAAATCCTTGAAATGAAAACAACAACTCAATCAAGGCATCAGGTTGTCCCTGTTATACTATGGCACTTTTCTAATTGTTTCCATGCAAAACTATCTAGCAGCTTGTTATCCAAAGGTCAGAATAATGCCCAAGCAAGGACAAACCCTCTGAGTGTCATATTCATGGAATGCTAGATGACTTCATAGTTATGAAATTATTTCATTTCTCATGATAATTCCTGACTTGCCAAGTTAGTGAATTTTAAGAACTCTGAGAGCAGATTGTAAGATAAATGTGAAATAATCCATACTTCTGGAGTCAGGGACTTCCCTCCAGGCATTAGTTCATACTTGACTTACTTGACTTACTCTTGGGGATAAAATGAGTTAGGACAAGGTCTTAGATACCACATTCTCTTACTGGGAAAGAAAACCAACTTGCACAACTTTGGCTGGCTCATGTTTCTTGTTACACAGGCACTAAGAAGCAGCGGTTGCCATGAAATACTTTATTTAACCTCTGCAAAATGTTTTTTTAGTATGGCAAGGCAGTTCAGTTAAATGAAAATAAATAGTTTTAAAAGGATTGTATTTCTTTTACATTCACATCAATAAAATTCTCCATTTTTCTTTTGCTAATTAAGCATAGAGATGCAGCAATTGTCCTTCTAAATTATCTAACACAATTAAATATATATACACCTAAAATACTTTTTTTAGCTGATAGTTTTATAATGTTTTATTTACATTTAGAATTACTTTTATTGTTAATGAAACTATAGGCTCAAATTAACATAATTAAAACTATTTTATGTTGTGAAAACAGCTATAGCACACCAAGGATTTGGATTTATCAGCTCTTGATGGTGTCCCTCCAACTGTTTGGCTTAACTTAAAGCTCCTTGCTTCCTTCATTTTTTCTCTGCCCAGATCCTTTACATTTGAGGGAACCTAACCTTCCCCTTTTAACTTTCACTCTGATTCCTGCAAGTCTCGCTAGTTTGGCTAGTATTTCAGTAATAAGCCTGAGGTCCAATGCTCACTTTTCTTCGTGACTCCGTCCCCCTCATTTTCCTCAGATTTCATGAGGTTTTGGCCCCCCCTTAAGGATAAGACACCCCCAACTATATAGTCCCTTTCCCAATTGGGGTAGGTCCAAAACTGATGGTATTTGGAGCTTTATGCAATTCTATCTAAAGCTGCCAGATTTTGTGAGTTCCTTTTACAGATTTTAATGAAAGTTAGAGGTCTGTTAGATATCATTAAAAGGGAAGAGAAGATACATCATTGCTGTGCTCTACAGACAACACTGGCTCCTACGTTATTATTGGATCCAGTCTGCACTCCTTATCTTGATCTTCACATTGTTTTGTGGGATGGGCCCCAGTTACATCAAAAGTCATGTTTGTCTCCAAGGCAGCTGTGTTTTTTAGATGAACTGGAGCATATGATACATAGGGTGAAACTCTGAAGTTAGAAGAGATCAGATCTTCCTAGTAGTTTACTCAGAGTTAAGGAATTCTGTCTTGCAAGACAGTAGGCAGCAATTGGAGGGTCTCACTAGGGAACACAGCAAATGTAAAAACCAGATATCCATGTGAGAGTCCCCTGAATGTATTCTGCAGAGATTGTTTTCTTATGAACAGACAACAGAAATTGTCTATAATGTGCTAGTTATTACTAGTTGTTTTCCCCACACTCAAACTTGAGCAGAGTCCTCTGAGGAAGCACAGACTGAGGGATTTAAGTTTATTTGTGTGCTTTTGAGCAAAACATAATGTTGCATAGTAGAAGTTTTTAGAAGCAGCAGCTCTCAAACCTTTCTGTAGTCTCCTTCCAGGGTTACAGTAAAAGTTACCCATTTTTATCATCTTTAACTTTAAACAGCAGATATACTGGATTAAAATCAGTTCCTGTGTTGAATGGCTCAATGACTTCAATGAGAATGTGGTTATAAATAAAAGGTATTTCTTTCTTATCAAAGTAAATATGCCTGAAACTCTGTAATTTTATTGCTACTTAAATAGAATTTGAGGGAAAATATATCTATCACTTTTCTGATCATACACTTACAAAGTCTTGAGTAGATATTCGTACCGGTTAGTACGTTATTAATACTTTCACTAGAACACATTTAGAATTTTTCTTATTTCAAATAGTGTGTCTGTGAACACAAATTCTAAATTTTATAAAGTTACTTTTTAAAGGTTACTGTGGTTTTACAAATGGTAAATTTGCTATTTAAGAATCTCCTTCTCATTCTCCTACCAAGAAAAAGACTGAAGCCAAATTTTGATTCATGTTGCAGCAGGATCACAGTTTGTTGTTATTTACTTGTTTCAGTTCTTTCAGATACTGGGTTATAGAATGTGTAAAATTATATGTACTGCTCTGTGGGTTCAAACTTAGAAACTGTAACTTATATATTAGTTATTATTTTGAGTATTTTCCCATTTTACTTTTCAGGAATATTACAGGTTCTCTGAACAATCTCTTGTACTTTACATAATCCTCCCCAGGTCATTAGAGAACAACATCAGGCAAAAAAAGTTGTATGTTATTTTATGCTGTTCAAATTGTGAGAAGAGTGCTATTGCTTTTTTGGGGAAACTGCATTCTAAATCAATGCTTATACTATGTAATTGAATTTCTAGATAATATCTGGGGCAGATAAGGATTAATATTATCCATGAACACTCATCATTTGGTTGCTGTTCCTTAGCCAAAAGACTTTTCTGCAGGGTGAGTTTGTATCTGTGAGGTTCAGGTCTGCTTTGCAGGTAATGTTGAGGTTCACAACACCCTGAGGGGTCAGAGGTTATCTGCCAAGTGTGACCTTTCGTCTACTAGCCAGCTTGGGGGTGATGAAAATTGCCTTCTTCCATGCTCTGTGCTGGATTTCTGTCCTACAAGGGCCGATGGCATAGAACTGGCCAGATCTCCCAGGTCACATGAGAAAATGAAGCCAAAGTGAAATTCAGGCTGTTTTGGTGGCCACTGCCACCAAATAAGTATTTCATTCACTATTTTTCCAAATTTTGGGTGGTTTTATTTTTGTAAATCTTAATCCTAGTCAAGAGCTACCTTGTATTGTGAAAACACAGTAAAAAATACAAATCAAGCTTCTTCTTTAATTTTTCAATTAAAATTTCTTTAGCTTCAAGTCTTAGAATTCATCTCCCATCTCCAGAGCTACATTTCCTCTATGCTGCTGCATTGTCACAACTTTTATTTTACTATCTTCTATATTTTAAAATAACAACTGCTTCCACACCGTTAACTAGGTCTTTACTTGATTCTTCCCAAACTCTCAGATTTCATAGCAATTACCCTTGTTCCCTTAGAAAAAACATTTTCTAGTTTCACATGGAAGATAAATACAACCTAAAGAACTGTGGTGAAACCAAGTTAAATCTGGTGAATCTGCAAGCAGAGTAGAAATCAAATTTGCATCACTGAGCATTTTGAGGGCTCAAGCTTTAAATTACTTGTACAGTTGGAAATTGATGCCTTTTCTGAACAGGCTAAATTCTCAGTCTCACTTTTAATCCTCCATTTTAGTCCTCATTCTTTGTCATATGACACACAGGTTTATTTACTCAGATCATATCCTTCACTCACACATCTAGCTGAAAACCTAAGTAAGTTTTGAGGAGCACATAGAAACATTCTGTGAAGAGGCATGATAAAGGTATTCTTTATTTTAAAGATAAAGCTTTTCTAGCCATTTGCTCCAGTAAGAGCTGCTTCATCTTAATCTGCTTCCCTTGAAGTAATTTCTATTCCTCTCAAAGCAGAAATCCATAATGGCTAAGAATTGCAAATCCAAACCCCAGCCAAGTCTAGTCAAAATAAAACACTCTGGGTTATCTGCTGGTATATTTCCCTGACAGAAAATGCAGAAATCAAATATTTACATGAATGAGTGCCTATCTTCATGTATACAATAGATAGTCTGTTTCAATTCTCTCTAAACAGCAAATTTTTGCTTATCACTGGATTGTATTTCTTAGAATGCTTTGAAGTCCATTTTTTTGTACCTTAATGCAATGACTTCTCTTTTCTCCTAATATATGTCCCATACCTAGCTATATTTGTTGAACTTTTTTTTGAACAGACTGCCTAAAAAATTCCTAGAATTAGCATAAAATTTGGTAAATGGAAGAGTTAGCAGCGGTTATTGCAAATCTTTAGTATCAAGTCACTTTGATAACTGTTTGGTCAGAGGAAGGTGCAAATAACACCAACATTTTGGGTTAAATCCCTGTATGGGCCATTCACTTAAGAGCTTGACTTGATGATCCTTGTGAATTTCCTTCCAGTTTGGAAAATTCTGTGAATCTGTAAATCTGTTTTCTGCTAAAGTCATGTTAATGTCTGATTACTTAGTTCTCTAAAATTACTGCCATTTTTATTTCCTGCCATATATCTCTGCATCACTTAGTGTCATTTGCTGATTATTTCTAGCCATCTTTTCCAGAAATCTCACATTTAAATAACTTAATCATCCATCTTTTTTGTTTTCATGGAATGCAGTTTCTTGGCTCAAAAGTAAACTTACACAGCACCCAATTCTTATAATGTTAGGTCATTAATACAAATATATTAGATATCTTTAAAGTAAATTATGAAGGCTGTATCTTTCACATTTACCAGTATACAAATTGTGTGTTTGTAAAATAAGAAAACATCAATATATGGTAATAGCTCTTCTTTATTTTTCTTTCTGAACCTTGACGTTAAATTTATTTTTCTTTCTGAACCTTGACGCTGTTTATACAGGGTGGGAGACATCCTAATGTTGTAGCTACATGTAATTACTAATCGTCAATTATGGCATTAACGTGACATCTATCTTTGGAGCACACAGTATTTTGTGGGCCTGCTAGCCAAGACTGACCACTTAAGTACCTTCTCTCATTATTTGGCTGTCATTTCCAGCTACTATTCTCTCCAAAGTAAACAGTGTTCTTGTTTCTACTAATTTTCATATGTGATGAGATTTATTCCCAGCTGCCTCTGTAAGAAACTGAACAGATTCCAGCCACTGCAATTGGATTTTTTGTTGCTTTCTTTTTCCTTTTCTTTAACTAATACTTCAGAATCGAAGTGACATGTTTGTTTATGAGTTTGACTATCCTAGTGTACAGCCTCCCTCAACATAACCTTGAATATAAATCCAGATGCCTGTCCTTGCACACATGGGCACGTATCAGCCTTTGTGCTTCCAGCATAAAACTCATTTGAATCTGAATGCAACAGTCATCACTCTTGCAAATTCAAAAGCCACCCACTGAATGGATGTTATTGTTCTGTGTCTAACTTGTGCTGAGGATACCACAAATTGCAAACAGGCTACTGAATTGTAGTATCTTTGAAAGTTATTGCTGTGGTTGTTTCTTAAAACAACGAAGGAAACCCCAACATCCAGCCCTTCACTAAGTCCAACTGACCAGACCCATGGTGAATGCTATCTCTTTCTGGAAACAGATCATGGAAGAACACAGTATTTACAAGTTTCAGTTTTTGCTAGTGTAAATAATCAATCTTTGGGCCTGATCCTGTTCTCAGTTACTTAAATTAATTAATGACAGATGACCAAAATCTGAGTGAAATTCAACCCTCAAGAGAGAATTCCCACAAGGTCTTCATATGACTGTTTTAAAGAACTTAAGTGATGCTTAGGCTCTGTGCTGGCCCTCTGCAAAGAATAAATTTTACCCAGAATGCTTATTGCTTTGATCCCTTATATATAACTCACATCCTTAAGTTTGCACAGCCACAAAAGATCTATACAGAGCTAAATAGCCAGATCTTCAGCTGGTGTAAATTTATGTAACTTCATTGACCTACATGGAACAGTACCAATTTTCACTACTCTGGCTTAAAGAATCTCCATGGGACAGAGGTAAGTGCGTATGGTGGGTAAATGGATGAAAGGCTCTTCAAATGATGAAAGACTACATTGCTCTGGAAGTGATTTAAGTTAAACGGGAAAAAAGCCACTCCTTTTCCGGAATAAATCACATAGGGAGTATAATTACGCAGTTAAATTTCTTCTCATGCAGTCAAGCTTGAACTTACCACCACATTTGTGTAAGAAATGAAATGTTTCCCATCTCTCAGCAATATACCACATTCTGCTTTTAACAGACACATATATGCAAGCTATGCAAGTCCTTCTTTATTTTCAAAGGGAAGGGTATTTGTTATTTTCTGTCTTATTCTGAAGGCAAAAAATCTGGCATGGACCTGTGTTCCGCATCACCTTGCTGGACTTCTAGAAAAACTTCAAAGGCAGTGGAGAAAATCTCATATTTCCTGTTTTATGCTCTCTAGTCTACTTGGCCTTTATTTTTCTTTCTTTTGGTGAACAGTTGTGTGTCTGGATGTTAAATATACTGTTAAAGGAGGCAATTTATAGAAATGCATGATCCAGAGCCATTTTATGGTATTGTTGCTTCTTCTGATTGTGTCTGAAATCACAGAATTACAGACTGAATGGATCATTCGGACAACTGGTGTGCTTAGCATTGCTGAGATTTCAAACCAAGAGTATTTCTCTGTCATGGGAATTTATATCCTACTGCAAGGCACTTTTTTTTCCCCAGTTATGTATTGAAGTAGTAATTTTTTTCTTTCCAGCTGTTACACATCTGTATTGAAGGCTGGGGAAACTGGCGGTGGTCTGAGCCATTCAGTGTGGACAATACAGGAACCTTTATTCGCACCATTCAGTACAAGGGCCGGACAGCATCGCTTATTATCAAGGTTCAGCAGCTCAGTGGAGTGCAGAAGCAAGTAAGGATTTGGTCCAGTTAGGAAAAAATAACATCAGTAATTTAAACTGTCACCTTTTCATTAATTAGTCACTTCATTATTTATTCTCTCCTACTGGGATCTGCAAAAAACAAGCATAGCAGTCTTTTGGGGCTATTTTGGGGAATTCTTACAACTTTTTTCTTCACTTTGGTGTTGATCTTAGCATTTAAAAGCTCAGTTACCAGCATGTATTTTATATGCTCTAGTAAACATCCCTTTGCCTGGTTCATAAGTTCTGACAGTGCTAAGTTGCACAATCTCTTACATATTTTAAGCTCTCAAGAAACAGATATTTCTCTTAATTTTTTTTAAAGAAACTATTCATAATATATTCTGGGTTGTAATTCAGACCTACACATTTTTTAAAGTGAAACAATTACCAAATTAACATTTGGAAATGAGCTGCTGTTCAATAACTTTCCCTTTACTATTTTTGTAAAGAGATGTTTAATAACACTGTGGCTGTTCTGCCTGCATTGGCAGAAGCCAGAGCATGTGGTGGACAGAACATGCTCAGCTCATGGATGTGGCAGAGCTGTACTGCTCAGCAACAGCACAGCTGAGCAGACAGAAGCAGTGCCTGGTGTCACTGAAAGCCCTGCTGAGATTTCACAAGGTGGGCTGTAGCTGTGATGTGTGCCCTCATGCATAAATAAATTCTGCTGGTTGTACAGGGGTACACATGGAATCGTGTTACCTGCTATGGCTTGGAAAAAGTCAGATGCATCTCTGCAATAAACAATTCATGCATGATGGACAGCAGCAAAGTCAAGTCTAATCTGGTCATTTTCTAGGTGTGTGCACTTAAATACAGAAACACATTACAGTCATTAATTGAAATTATAAGCTTTAAAACAGCAGACATTCTGTGAAAGGTCTGGATCATTGGCTTGGGATGGGAATGTGAGGTATCAGTAGAAACCATTTTCAAGTGCATCCCTGTGACTGCTCAGAAATGTCTCAACATTCAGAGACAATCACAGACCAAACCAGAACTGTCAGCCATGGGCAGTACTGCTGAGTTCAGTGGGAAGGAAAGTGGACATGTTCCATGTTTCTTTCAAGCGTGGATACTGCCTTAGCAATATTTCAAGCATCTTAATGCCTAGATTTCTATGAAATTGGACATACATTTGGCCAATAAAAATAATGTTTTACCAGTCACTGCCTTCAGCATACTTGAGAAAACCTAAAGCAGGAATTCTTCTACAGGTTTTCACTCTCTAATTCAATTTTGACCCTTTTTTTTTTTCTTTTTCACAGTTGTTTATATAAGAGCTGTATTTTTTGTGTGTTTTAGATCCTAATCTGTGGAAGACAGACAGTCTGTAGTTACCTTTCTGAAAGTATTGAACTGAAAGTGGTTCAGCATTACATTAGTCAAGATGGACAGGCTGTTGTTAAAGAACACATCAACTGCCTTGCAGCCAAGCAGAAACTGCCTTCGTATATCCTAGAAAACAATGAGCTCACTGAGCTGAGCGTGAAATCTACAGGAGATGAAGACTGGTCCCAAGACGTATGTCTAAGTTCTAAACACACAGAACACAGCACTGTCATTCAGGTATGACTAGAAATGGGTATGTGGAATAAAGCATTAAAAACGTCTGAGAGAACTGAGTACTTTGAATTCAGACTTCTATCTGATACAATGAAATAGTGGATGTTATCATCCTGAAATAATGCTAGTGTAATGCTGATCTTTCTACAAACAGGTACCATCTTCAAAGAGTTCAATTACATATGTGTGGTGCACAATTTTGACTTTGGAGCCAAATTCACATGTGCAACAGCGATTAGTAAGTGCATTTAATGTCTCTGAAACCTAAATGTTTATGCCTTATATATCATATAATGAATTAAGGTCAGAGTGACCTACTGGAAAGATTTATCAATAGCTTGTTTCAACAGTTGTAATACTGAAATAAGATTTGCTTTAAATTGGTGTGGTTTTTTCCTTTTTGTAGATTGTTTTCAGCCCTCTTTTCATTGTAAGGAGCCATCTTCCAGACCCTATTATCATACATATAGAGAAAAGAAGCCTGGGACTGAATGAAACACAAGTGATTCCAGGGAAAGGACAAGAGAAAGCACTGCAAAATATAGAACCTGATCTTACACACCACCTGACTTTTCAAGCCAGGTAAAATACTCATTTTCCTTGAAAATAGTTCAATTATATGGAAAAGAAAGAATAATTTACACTTCAACTACTTCTACATTTTTCCAAAAGTATGCCATGCCCAGAGGGGATATGGCAGAACAAGCATATTTAGCTGAAATTATATCAGAGGTGATACTAAATTTGGTAAAACTATCCTAAGCACACCGGCATTTGTTTAATTAAGCAGTCCATGTTCTTGTGTTTTAAAAAATAAATTCCTGAATTATCTTGAAATTGTTTTTTAAGAATACTGAAGAGTTTTTAGAGTCATTACAGTGTCATAATAAGCCTATGCATGTCAGTAAATTTTCAGGAACTTGTTGGACATCATAACTTGATTCATCAATTACCATGAAAGTGTTCCTGCTGCAGAGTACACTTGGGAAGCCTCATTAGAGATAATGTTAATGCTAATGCTTGATCTTGTGTAAGTGACTGAGTTTGTTTTCAATGGCAGGGAAGAAGATGATCCATCAGAGTGTGCAGTCCCTATCTCAACCACTCTGATTAAACAGATAGAGACTAAATCCCATCCTGGTGGCAACGTCAGCCAAGTGCTCTCCGAGTTCTATGGCATTGCTAGTCCTCCCCAGCCTGCATGGCCTTATAATAGGAAGGATTCAGACAGGTAACTCCTTGCTAAACCTTCTTCATGACTGATGCATTGCCCTTCCAAATAAACTGGAATCACATTCTGGAAGACTGTATGTGATGAACATTGAATGTATTTTCAACAATTAGATAATTCCTGCATGTAAACAGCAGAATCTGTATCAGATAGGGAAAAAAATTAGGTCAGCCTCAGGGCTGCCCTTGTTTACACTAAGAATACATCAAGTATGGATTTTTTAAAAATGGAGCCTTTTTTTTGTGAATGCACTTTCTTTACTGCAGCTCTAGAGGCTGTTGTTTATTCAGCTGCTGTTTGTTTCAGCAGAGAAACAGGGAGTTGCTGTAGAAGTAGTTGTTGGGGAAGAAAAAGGGAATGTGATTTGATGACTACAAAAGTCACAGGTTTAGCTCTGATGGACAGTGGTAACTCTGTTAAGGCATTTATTAATTGACTAAATTTAGGTTGAGCTTGGGGAGTTAGAAATATGCCTTTATAGCCAACACATATCTAGATCTTTCTGACAGCACCTCAGTGTGTTCCAGAATGATAAGGTAAGAAGAGAAGTTTTTCTATTTCACCACCAGAAAAGCCTTGCAAATTTCTGAAAAAGACATCTTAGCATTTGCAGTCTTGAATTTGTTATTCCTTTGACTTTATGTTTTTGCTTATTTGTTTCTGCCAGCAATGAACAGCTCTCCCAATGGGATAGTCCAATGCGGGTAAAGCTGTCAGTGTGGAAACCGTGTGTTAAAACTCTGCTGATTGAACTCCTGCCCTGGGCATTGCTTATCAATCAGTCCAAGTGGGACCTCTGGCTGTTTGAAGGAGAGAAGATTCTTCTTCAAGTACCTAGCGGGAAAGTAATTATACCTCCCAACTTCGAGGTAACTTTGCCTTTCACATTAGCAGGCACAGTTCTGCTAAGCACACTGATTCTGAAGAATGCTTATTACTCCAGATGATTCCCACTTTCCAGTCACTTGTGTCTGTTTGTCTGTCATATGTGAGGATTAGCAATAACAATAGGAATTCACTACACTGACTGAGTCACCGAGTGGATAGCACAACATACTTGGTAGCAATGTTTGAAAAACAACATCCTAAAGATGGATAGTTGAAAATGATCTGCAAGACACTGTAGGCAGAAGGTTTTCATTCCATCAGCAGCCTTCTCCCCTTCCTCTTAGTTGAGCCAAAGAATCTGCAACATGGGTGTAAGGTAGCAGCCTTTGAAAATTGCTATAAAGGCCAAGTAAAGACTTTCGCCCCTGCTGTGCCAACCTGTCACTTGGGAAATTGTTGACCACAGTAGCCAAATTGACAGCCTGAAAGGAATGTTTTGTTTGAGAGTACTTTATGTTATTTATTTCATAGATTTTAGTGTTACCAGGAAAAGTTGATAATGACGCAGAATGATTACAATAGAGGAAGATTTTTTTAAAATGCCTGCCTTCCTTAGTTCAGTGATGGATGTTCCCACATATCTTGGCCATGCACGTTCTTTTTTTTATTATAACTCAAATATTCTTTAGTTTCAAAATAATTAAGGTGATTTGACACATCAGCTTCTTAATTCCAGTTGAACAATCTGATACTTCCTGTTTATTCTGTCATCCCCCACCATGTCTGTTAATAAACAAAAGGTCTGCCTAGTAACACATCTCACTGTAGACTACAGCCTTGATCCCTTGTGAGGATCAGTTCCTTATCCACCTTGCAGTTTCATCTAACCTTGTACCACATAGCAAGAATCAGAGGGAGAAAGACAGGAAATTAAATTCACTGCCCAATGGAAAATGCCTTTAGAACTGTAATAGAAATGTATCAAGTTGTGAACAACTGATAATCAATAATTTTTCACTTACAGGAAGCTTTCCAGGTTGGAATATACTGGGCAAACACTAACACTGTGCACAAATCGGTGGCAATTAAACTGGTTCATAATGTGACCTCCCCAAAATGGAAGGATGCCGATAATGGGGAAGTAGTAACGTTGGATGAAGAAGGTTTTGTTGAAGCTGAAATTAAACTTGGTGCTTTTCCAGGTCATCAAAAGGTTAGAAGAAAATTATAATGATTTGTAACTTTATCATGTAAAAACAAAGTCATATAGCAGATAAAACAATCAAATGTATGCAGTGTGAAAGCTTCTCCCTAATTATGTTAATATATGTCCAACATAAAGAGAGTATAAACAATGTATGAAATACAGTTTAAAGAATTAGATTGCCAAAAACATACTGTGCAACCTATAAAGATAATACAGTATCTCCTGGAAAAAGAAATACTGAATTCTCAGTGTTGTTTGGATAACATTGACAGATGCAACTTCAAAAGCACGTGATGCGGCTCCAGTTACAAAGTGCATGAAAGTAGAGAGGATTTCTTTGATTAGAAAGAAAACAGCAATTCTGTTGGTACATTTCACTACCTTTTGTGTGACTTCATCACAATTTTCATTATCTTACAGTTGTGTGAATTCTGCATTTCTTCCATGGTTCGACAAGGTATACAAATTCTACAGATAGAAGATAAGACAACAATAATCAATGATACATCATATCAAATTTATTATAGGCCACAGCTTTTTATTTCCAAACCTCACACAGGAGAAGAGGTAAAGCACTGTAGATACTGCTTTTGTTTGTCATCTGTGGAAAATGATTGTTTACATCTGTATCTGTATTTAGATGAGCTGCATATAGCATAGCTTGGAACAGAAATCTTTAGACATAATAATCATAAAGTAATTTATAACATTTAGAATACGGAATACTGGGTAAATTCAACTCCAGTAATTAACTGTGTTCAGAAATCTGTGCAAGCAGCAAATTCTTGCACATTGCAGAATTAGTTCTGCCTGTTCTCCATCTGTTCAGGCACTAATGGCAGTGTAATCCGTAGTAGCTGTTGAAAATGTTCTCAGAATTTTTACTGAGTTTGCATGTAAAAGAGGTATATTGGCCTGGCAGGCTGAAAACATTTTGTTATCCTTTTGGGAAGATTCCAGTTATCTGAGCAAAGCTGCAGAACTAGATACATGCCCAAAATTTATGTAATTCATAAACTCCATCAAATTGTGAATATCAGTTTTCCAATAATATCACAGAATATTTAAGGGCTAGATTGCAGGAACCAAAATGTATGCATGGTAAATATATTTTAATCAACCATTTATACATATTTATTGAGGATTACATTTATAGTAAAATATGTGGAAAGAATTCTCAGGGTCAAACTTACTAGAAGAGCTGGCAGATCAACAAATTTTTAAAATTCCCATTTCCATATTGTTTTCCTTCTGCTTTAGTTTTCTTCATGTCATTATCTACAGTGGTGCATCACACATTTTGTGGCAGTCTTATGGGATGGGGAATTGGGAGAATGTTGAGGTTAAAATCTATTCTTAATTTTGTAACTCTAAATGGATTTTGTTCACACAGTTGTGTTACAGGAATGTAACTTGATTTTGGTAGAGCTGTTGTGGTGCTGAGAGACGGCTGTAGATCACAGAGTTACAGAATCTCTAAACCCCCTACAGAAGGGGTTGGGTTGGAAGTGACCTTAAAGACCATCTAGTTCCAAACCCCTCAGCATGGTCAGAGACATATTCCACGAGACCCAGGTGCTCAGGAACCCCAGATAGCTGTGCTGCAAACCTATACGTGAAGACACAACTTGGCCTGTAATGCAATGCAACCTTTAGTTAGTTGTGGTCATTGGCCACTTGAGAACTTTCTGTGCAAAATCAACATGAAGAAACCTCCTTTTAGGAGCCAGGATGCCGTGCTACCACCACCTTTTTTGTTTCCAGGACTTCCACTCACCCGACAGTACGGTGTTCAGCATTGGTCCGGCCGGCTCCGGTGAGGCGCTGAGCGCCGTGCCCTGCTGGGACCTGCTGTTGGAGCCGGGTCCCTCGGCGGCGGGGGCATCCCTCGGGGACAGGCGCGTGGTGCTGAGCTTCAGCGCCGGGAGCCGCGAGCTGTGGAGCCTCCCGGCCGTGGTCAGCGCCGAGCTGGCGAGGCAGAGCGTGGCGGTGCCCACGGGCGCCTGTACTGAAAGCGGATTCTGCACCAGGTACTGTGCGCTGGGCACTCGCCAACAGCGAACATGGCTTGTTGCTGTACAAAAAACATAGTCAGAAAGCACAGGAGATTAATGCAAAAGTCCAAGTAACACATGCCCCCCATACGTAAAGGCAAGTCTTACGTAAATTTAAAAATTGTTATCTTCTGATGGTTTTGATGCTTTTATTGTAAATGGTTTAAGGATATGGCCATGTACAAGTTGTACACTTTTTAGAATACATGGCCTGCTATTTTTTTATTGTGCATGCAAATAAGAGCAGGAAAAATTTATATTGGGGAATTAAGGTGTTTTTTAATTTGTGAATAACAATTTAAGAGTTCAAGGACAATGTGAAATAATACAATACAAAAATTTAGATTTTGTTTATAAAAGGTAGACATATATTTTTGTAAGCATAATAAGAGGATAAAAAAGAAAAGACAAAAGGGATGAAACGATTTTGAGATTACAGCAAGGAAAGATTTCAAGTTCTAAAGCTTGAACTGTGCAGTTGTGCATTCTGCTTACAAACTTATGGAACCATCTAGTTAAAAATAGCAGTCCAGTGACTTGTCAGATGAGCAGTTTCATTTCTTTAACCTGATATCTGAATCTATTCATGCTGGTATGAACAAAAAACAATCTGCTGAAATTAGAGAAGCTACATCAGTATATATTACCAGAGATGTAATCTGCCTCTTGCCTGAAGGGCTTGATATTATTCAAACTCTCATACAGTTCCTCTGCAGAGCCCAAGAGGTGTCATTTTGGATACTAAAGATTCTCACACAGACTTCAGATTTTAAAAAAATAATGGAAACAATAAGGGAAGGATTCCTTATCATTCTGCCACAGGCATAGGGAATCTCATGTTCCTAACCAGATTTTCAGACTTTGGATTTTTTTTTTTTAAATCACCATGAGGTTAAAGGGTTTTTAGCAACAGCCAATAAATTTGCACAAGAGAAAGAAAAAGAATTTATGTTTATGCATGAAGATATTTTATGTAGTTAATAAGTAGAACTGAATTCATTTAATCTCATTTTGGAAACTGATGTAGTGATGATCCATAACATTAACATTTAAAAGAGCAATAGCATTGTGGATCATTCCAGGGGAGCAGTCAGATAGATTTATATATTTGTTCATATTTCTTTCATGTGTTCCAGAGAAGTATCCATGCAAATTCTTCTGGAAAATTTTAAAGATTTAAGTTGAAAATTTGGGCCTACAATCCCATGTTTTTAATTTAATATAAATCTCTGCTGGCTAGGGCTCTCATCTTGTAGGCACACATGTTCAATTTAACTCATGAGTACTCTCCATGAAGCAATTTCTTCTCTCATGTTTTTTAGGCTATTTTCCTGCACTCTTCTGTTGAAGTGGAGATGTGTACTTGCCTAAATGTAGATAAATATCTATGGACTTGGAACTTGATCATAAAGAATCATACAGATGCTAGTTTTGAATGTTTTTAATTGTTCAGGATAATAATATGTAAAGGTTGCATCCAAAACAGGCACAATCCAATATATCTGCTTCTGTTTTAGAGCTATAGCACTGACTTATCAAGAGCATCTTGGCGTGACGTACCTAACACTTACAGAAGATCCTAGTCCTCGTATAATTATCCACAATAGGTGCTCCATTCCATTGCTTGTAAAAGAGAATTTCAAAGGTAGGTACTGTGCAATAATTAGAAACAGTGCACTGTTGTAGTGTAACTTACATGACTGTATCTCCAGTCCAAAATTGAATTCAGTGTGTGTTTTGGTTATAGCAAGAACTTGATGCTCTCATGAAGGTCTGTCTCAAAGTGAGAGACTCTGGAAGCTATTGGAGCTAATTGTGAGGTCAGGAGTATGAACTTAAATATTTGTCTCTGGACTTTTGAGTCTCCCTGGTTCCAGCTGTCAAGGTGACTCAGCTGTAGGAAGTCCATAGGCAGTGAAGTTTTGTTGACATGAATTCAATCCCATGGAACATTTTTATTTCGTCAGATTTGCAAATGCAACAGAAAATATATTGTCAAAAGTCTGGTTACAGTAAGTTAATGTAATGAGCAGCAGAACATTATTTGTGTAAAACTTTATCAAATAGAAAGAGAAAAGGAAAAAACCCAAACATATAATATTCTAATCAATAGAAATTCTAACTAAAGCAATGTTTTTCTTTATTAGGAATATTTCAGACAGAAACTTTCTCATTTGTACAAGCATAGATGAGTTTTGATTTCATACAGGTTTTAGAAAGCACTGATCTTGTATATTTTATAAAATTTCAGATACACCAAAGTTTGAAGTTTACTGTAGAAAGATTCCAGCTGAATGTTCAGTTCATCATGAGCTTTACCATCAAATCTCCAGCTATCCAGATTGCAAAACAAGAGATGTATTGCCCAGTATTCTCCTGAAAGTGGTGTCATCTGATGAATTAGTAAATGAATGGAGCGATTTTGTGGACATCAACAACCAAGGCACACAAGTAAATCATTATAAACTGCTTCCTAGTTCACACCATAAATGGTTGTCTTTCTGACCTGCACAGTGCATTGTTCCTCTGCAATGAGTGTATCCTTTCTGTTGGTTTAAGGGGTTTTATTTAACTCCTGGGAACTCTCCTGCCTAAGTAAGCCCCTTCCTGTGAAAGTTTTAGAACACAGGGTATCTTCTTTACTGTCTCTTTTTAAAAAAACGCTAGATTGAAAGTAGAGGCTTTATAACACTGATTTTTTTTTTTTTTTTACTTTTTAATCAACCTGGTGTTGTCTGGAAAAACCAGTCTTGAAAATTTCTGGGCTCTGTAAGCAAAGAATGCCACAGGATCCAAGAAAATGTGGTGACTTCATTATCATGGGATTTTTGTCTTTATATCTTGTAGGAATCCTCACAGTCATTCTCCCTCTGTGCCTTTACAGAAGCTGCTCATATCTTTCTGAAACAAAACAACCCCTCCCTTTTCTTTCCTTCTGTTATTTTTCTCTGGGTCTTGAGGTAAATGAAAGCTTCCTTGACTGGAGTAATTCTTTTTCATGGGAATTTTTTCCATCTTTGAAGTCATTAGTTTACATGGAATCAACATAAACTGCTTGGCTCTTTGAAAGAAATACTAGTTTCAGATGTTTTCCCTGGGCACCAATCACAAAATGCTCTTGATTATTGAGTGTTATGTTATATAGCAAGTAGTTCAGTTCCATTCAGCAAGCCAGTCAAGCAATGCAAGGTTTCAAATTTCAGTCATTAATGTTATGCCAGACCAGGGTTCTTTATAAGTATCTGGCTCCTAGAAGGAATTAGATGCTAAGACAACATTTGGGGATCATTGTCTACTTGAACAGCTCTCCAAAAAAAAAGTATAGCTTTCTGTTATTGAAGTTTTAGGATGTACATGTTGAAAATTTTCCCAGGATTTCTAATCTGTCTTTCTCTTAGAAAACTATGAATATAAGTGAATAGGGAATATACTAATAGTGTCACATACAATTCAGTTCAGGTTGTGAAATAACTGGGATTTGAAGGATGTTAGATAATTTGTATTTCTTCTATGTAGTCACAGATAGGTATTTCTTTTTCTATTAGAAAGCAAATTTTAAACTACTTAAAACTAATATCTTAATAAATATTGAAGTATTTATCATCAGAATCATCTGAAATTGGAATTAAAAATGACCAATCTTCAAGATCAGTGGAACTTCATTTAGAATAATTAGAGTTTTGAAAATTCTGTAAATGTCCTTTTTTCTCCAATTTCATGTAGGATTGTGAATCTCTTCCAGACATGCAAAGGATTAAAACTGACAAGTCAGAAGTAGAAATTCTCTTACATGTAATGGTCAGAAGAATAAGAAATTTGATTAATGAAATTTAATTATCTGTACAAGGTTATTATGAATAGCCTAACAAGAATCAGTGTCAATCCTACTAAACTTCCAATTGTTTTTGCTTCTGGTGACTTCTTAACATCAGTAAAGATTCATCAGGACAATTAGCTGTTTATTTTACCTGTGCTAGCCCAATATCTTTGTGTTATTTCTCAAATTTGCATTCCTTTTTATTGTAGCTTCTGTAGTTGCAATCTGGTAAATAATTGTTTTGATAGTAACCTTACAAGAAAAGAGAAGCCAGCTTGCTCTAACAAGGACTGCTCTGAATTTTTCCAAACCTTTAAAAGATCTTAATTTTTTTATGATCTGGAGAAACACAGAACTTTGAAATATTGCAGAATTAACCTCTGAAAGCAGTACATCATTTATCTAAGTGGGATATTTCTAAAGACAACTTGTCCAGAAAGAAAGTTTGTATACCTGTAAGCAAGACACAAATCTGTTGTCAAATTCCCATTTTTCTTGCCTTTTTAGATGTTTTATGCTTTCTAATAGATTTTTACCCTTTCCTCATGGCAGCACCTTGCCTGTGAAGCTGTTCTCACAAACCAGTTTAAATGGCTTAAAAATGTGTTCAGTCTTGAGCTGATATTGTGAGCTTTCATGGATCCAAAATGTTACTTACTTTACAGTCTTCATGTGTTTTACAGCATGCTATCACCAATTCATCTACCCAGCTCTAAGCTAGGGTATAGCAACATAATGTTAGTTTAGTGTTTGTTTTCTAGAGGAGAAATTAGGATTTTTTAGAGCTCCAGGAAAATGCCTTTCTTCTTAATTCAGAATCACAAACTAAAATTTCCTATTTATTCTTCTCATATAAACTCCACCCTCCTCAGCACATTTTGCCTTTTTTCTGGCAAAGTTTCTTTTTAAAATGTATTCAGTTATGCAGTTGAATGATAGGATGCAAATTTCATTTCCCTGTATAATCGAAATACTTAAAGTATCAGAGCAGTTATTTTCTGAATTATTGAAATCTGACTTTTTTCCTGAATAGTATTCTGATTTGAATAAAAGATCTCAGCCAAAAGGCATTGATAGCATTAATTTAATTTATTACAATAGAATAGTGATTTCAGTTACATTCCATGTGTTTTTAACCCTCTCTTCTAGATTGTGTTCTTAACTGGCTTTGGCTGTGTTTATGTGGACATCACCCATCACTGTGGAACATTAGTCATAACCTTGGCCCCAGAAGGAAAAGCAGGACCCATTGGTATCAACCTCAACAGGTACATAAAGCACATAAAAGATGATTAAAAGCATTACCGAGAGCTCAGTCAGCTTTCTAAGTGTTAACTGACTTAGAAACTTCGGCTTAACTGTTTGTTTTGGTTAATACTGCTGCATGCTCTGTAGCATATGTTTAGACCATATGGCTTTGTATATCACAGTTAAAAAGGACAATCTAACATCAAAAGTCATGTCACTATAGGGTAAACATTAGATGACTGGTACAAAAAGAGGACCTGAGTTGTTCATTTGAAAAAAAAATAAAGACATTTTCCATAATAATTAATTTTGAGTGTGTTCATTTTAAAATGTATTTAGCCAGGTCCTGCCATCTGTAATCTTACAAGCTCCTGAAGATTTAATATGCAAGAGCTGTAGAAATAGCTTTACAGTTAGTAATTAATCATGCTTGATTATAACACCCTTCTTTAGACTATTTCTCTACTTCCATAATACACCACAATCTGGTCCTCAGCTTCATTCAAGTGCAATTATAATACTACTTATTTCTAAGCTGCAGAATATTTGGCTTCCAGAAATCCTGTTACAATTAGAGTGGAATTTGTTGTACTGTTTTTATTTGCATTGTAATTAAGCAACTGGTCATCAGCAGTACCTAATAGTCCATTTGCTAGTTAAACTTGGCAATGGGCAGTTTCCATTGCAGGGACGGGCCCTCAATGCCATCAGTATCAAAATACTGCAGTGGAGGGCACTCACTGCATGCAATGTGAAATGATTTTCCATAACAGGAACCTTCAGTGAAACATCTGAGGCTGTACATGAATCGTCAGAAAATTGTGTTTTAATATCTCTCTGTAGCAAATGTAATGGGAATTACTCTGTAGATAGAGATGTTCCTGTCTGGACTATCCTGTTGATTGCTAAAAAAGACAGACCACCCTGGTATAGATATATACTGTCCCAGTTCTTAGAAGACATCCTGGGTGGTACTTACTGTGATTAAGGTTGCCAAATCCCAGTAATGTTAGCAGGACTTGTACATTGAGTTTCCCACGTATTACAGAGAATGTCTCTCTTGACAGTTCTTTGAGCAAGCAAGATGCCAGGTGAATTCAAACGACAGGAAGTAATAAAACTTCTTTTCCCTCCTGTCTAGAAGTCAAGAGCAGATCCTGTCACTGAAAATGTTCATCAGTCAGTTAAGTCTTGCTGCATTTGATGATATTACAAACCACAAAGTGTCATCTGAGCTCCTGCGTCTCACAGCAGACAATGTTTTCCTCTACATGGCCCCGGCCACCAGCTCCCTGTCACAGGAGTTCCAGCAGGACTCTGTGGAAGGCCTCCCACAGTTTCATAGTCTCCAAGTGTACTGTGAAGACTTGCAACTGGACAATCAGTTGTACAGCAAATCCAATTTCCATTTTGCAGTCCTGCTGTGCCAAGAAGAGAAAAATGAAACCACGCAGTGGTCAAGAATGAACAATCTCATTGTTTGTAACAAGGATTTGGAAATCTATAAGGAAAACTGCTTTATAAAACTCTGTATTGCTTTTTCTGAGGAAGAGAATTTCATGTTTCACGTGAATGACCTCAGCTTTGAGCTCAAACCAGCTAGGCTGTATGTGGAAGACACCTTTGTTTACTACATTAAGACTTTGTTTGATACATATCTTCCAGAAAACAAAACTGCTTGTAAATCCATGAGTGCTTCAGATGCTACGCTCATAGTGCCTGAACAAGTGAGAGAGCATGCAAGAGCTTTAGTCAAGCCAGTGAAGCTAAGAAAATTAAAAATACAACCTGTTAATGTCCTTGTCAGTATTCATGCTTCATTGAAACTGTATATAGCCTCAGATCACACCCCTCTCTCCTTCTCTGTGTTTGAGCGAGGACCCATCTTCACCACGGCCAGGCAGCTTGTCCACGCCTTGGCCATGCATTACGCTGCTGGAGCGCTTTTCAGAGCAGGTCAGTACTTTTCCTTAATAAGCAACCTTTTCATTGGGTACCAGGATTCTGTGGCTGTAGCTCAAGATGAGTACCCTAGCTGTTAGCCAGATGCAGAATTTTTGTTCTCCTTAGACACTGATAATGATACTTTCAGACACCTCTCAGGTCCTGTCACACAACAGAAGGGAAATAAAACAGCTGAGCAGACACCAGTGAAGATTTGCAATGTTGTGCTAAACACTAGCCAGCCACCTGAAGGCTGTAGCCAACTGAAACCCTGAACACAGCCAGTGTTCTAGCTGGCTTAGGTTTTGTCATTTTGTATTACAGCACAAGTCAGAATCAACCCACATTCCTTACATAAGCTCCCCAAAACACTGTTTAATCAAATTATTCAGCATGTTGCTCTGCGTTCAGAAGTAAATTATAGACCTGAATGTTGTTTTGTTGTTAAAACTCCTTTTGACTGCAGTTTATGATTAGGAATCTGTCTTTCTTCATATAGAATTCAATCTAAACTGGCACACAGATGTTTGTTGTCCTTTGATCCAAGAACTATGAAGTTTTCTGCTAGTAACTTTTTCCCATATAGGATCAATAGCAAGCAATTAGTCTTTTTAAGTTATTGGGTACATTTTGTTCTCCATAAATACTAATGTAGAAATAATGAAATCTGGTCTCTGATGTGTCTTGGTGCAGCACAGAATTTGTGCCTGGGACAGAAGGAAGCTCTTCCATGATCAAACAAAAGTAACATTTTCCACACTGAAATGTGGGATTTATTTTCCTGCAATATTAATAGTCAGATTTTCTGAAATCCTAATGCTTCCATTTGGACTGGAAGCATAGTTGCAACCTGACTTCTGTGCACACTTTCCAAAACTGTACATGTGTATTTCATCTGTTTATAGATGCTGACCTTGTCTTTCACTGTGTGCATACCTGGCTTGCACACTTGACTGTGACAACACTGTGCACAGTTATGCACCAGAACAGTGTACCAATTCATTATTTTGCAATATTTTTTATTATTATAAAATATATTTTTATTATATTTTTATAATTTATATCAATTATAATTTGCAAGCAATATTATGTTTGCAAAATTTCTGTTTTTCTTTTTGCTACTTGTTTGGTTTTGTTTTGTAGTTAAATCTCATAGTACAGAAGGGCAGATCTAGTTGCTTGGTAATTAAGAGTGAAACTCTAACCAAATATGGTCCACAGTGCAAATACTTCTGCCCCATCACTTGGTCTGGGATCAGTGATGTATCTGAAATCAAGCAGATATAAGTATTAAAAACTGAGGTTTGCTTTGGTGGAACTTCTCTTCAGGAAAATACATATACATGTATACTTAACTCCCATTAAAAGAACTAAAACTAAAATGTATTGTTTGAAAGGTGTCACCATGATTAAGATGATGAATTGTGCTGATTAATGTTTGCTTTAGCAAAGAAAATGGTTTATGTTGAAGACTTTGTGACACTTGTCAAAAAAGCCAACTGTGTCAACAAAGTAAAAAGGAAGGAAAAATCAAGCAGAAAGCTTTATATGATCTGCAAACCCTGAGTTTTTTCTCACCATTAGCACAATTGTTCTCTTATGGAAGAGGACCTCGTGCTTCTGCGTTTTAATTACATTAATGTGGAATATGGGTTGTTTGAACCCCTTCTGCTCACCACTGTCTCATGCATAAACCATTGGTAGCACAGTCTTCCCATGCAGGCATACCTTATACTCAGATATACACTCTTTTGCTCTTAGCTGTGTGCAGGACTGCTGCTGACCTGTGGAAGGGGGCAGGATTTTCCCCAAAGCTTGCTGAAGGGGGTGCATCAGGCTGCCCTATGTGTTACAAAGGAGAGGCCAGAATCCATTCAAGCCGTGAATGGGACTGGAGAGCTCTGTTCAAATATGCTGGTTAGCATTGCTTATCTCAAATCAGCCAAACTTGCAATGGAAATCTTCTTTTCTAATTAAGTTGTCCCCTATATAAAAGTTAATAAAATTTTATTCAGAAATATCACATCTGACCCTATAGTTGCCTATAAAGAAAATTCACTGGCTCTCTGCTAATTACCGTCATATTTATTTCATGTCAGTGGATATAATTACTGGGCACAAGTGGGAAATGGCAGCCTGACATAATACTGTATTTCTGCAGAGTAAAATGCCACACAGAGCTTGTGAATTGAGGGGTTACTCCTGGTTCCTCATTCTCCTGTTCCTGACTTACTCCCACACCTTCCTCCTTGGGTTGGGTGCTCCAAGCTGGCAGTGAGGAGCCGTTGGGTTTGCCCTGAGCATTGGCCGAGGAGGGTCACCCATGCTGCAGGTTGCACATTATTCCCATACACTCTCCAAGGGTGAGCACAAGCCATCCAGAGAGCTTCCCAAACCTGACAGGCAGGGACAGATTACAACAAACCATTCCTGGCATACCAGGCAACCCCTCAGTTTTGTGTTAGACTGTTTTCTTTCCTGGTTTTTATCTGTTTTACATTTCCTGAAACGCTGGCTGGCCCAGCAGGAGAGTGGAGTCTCCCATGTCCCAGGCTGATGGTGCCTGCTGGGGATGTTGCAGGGCACCAAGGCACTAAGCTGAAGTGTCCTGTAGCCACTTTACATCACACCACCACATAGGACAAGGAATGTCAAGAATATTTAGGGAGAAAAAAATCTCTAAGGAATTATTGCAATATTATTGATCAGAAAAAGCAGAGAGAACATCTCTCCCATCTCTACACGCCTCCCCCACCCCTACAGCTTTTCAGCACTTCACACAGTGGCAAAGATAATTTATTAAAAATCCTACAGTGAGGGAATTGCAGACCCAGCCTGGAGCTCTGGCTTCCCCTGGTCCTGGCAGGAAAGGTCTGCCAGGGGATGCTCCTTTCCAGGCCAGCGGGGCCACAATGTGTGTTGCCGCTCTGTTCATTGCATTGCCAGTAGCACTTGGGTTTTGTTTTTGTAGTCCATCCCACCCTGTCTCTTATGTCCACTCTGGTTCCCGCTTTTTATATTACAAGTACTGGAGTTCTCAACCTGCCAGAACTGAAATGTGGGACAGATTCAACAAGAATAATAGATTTTCCGGGAGCTTAGAATGATAGTATGAGATTAATTCATTTCATATGAGTAACATTTTCTCCTCTGTTCAGTTTCATGATTCAGCCTTCCACAGGAATGACTGGGAGGGGTTAAAAGAAAACAAGAAAAGCATCTGGATAGCAGGAGTTCTCAATGATGAGATGGGAAGGAGGAGGGCAGAGCTCAGATCAAGGGCCCTCCTGGGAGAGCAGGAGGCCAGTCTGTCCATCCTTCAGTCTCCTGGCCCTGTCACACCTTGTGCTGCTCTGACAGTGCCAGCTGAAATTCGTGGTACCAGGGCTCAAAGACCAAACAGTTCCTGTTTCACATTTATTGCCATTTCTGAATTGCTCTCTCTGGGCTGCCAAAAAAAGAGTTATGCAGCACTGTTTCCCTAATAAATCTGCTGCCTACCAGCCTGAGAAAGACAAGACCTGCACATAGCTTTCCAGCAACAGATTGCTGCGTGCTCAGCCATCCAGCAAGCTGCTGGCAACCCTGAGTTTATATAGGAAATCAGATCTGCAGATACTTCTCCTGGGATATGCATAAGGAATACTCCCCTATGAGTAACCTAATCAGCATGTAGATGTCATTGCTGTTTACACAACTGTACTGAGCAGAAGACATTTGTCTGGCTTTCACTGCACTCTGAAGGAAAATGATCAGCTTAGAAGGGTTGGGGTGGATTTAAAATAACTTCTTAAGCACTTGTCAAAAATCTGCATCCCTTTTCCTAACACTCCATCAAGCAATTGACCTGCACACTCCCGTAAAGCAGTACATTGTATCAGTGTAAACTCCCTGTCACAATTCTATCGCATAAGGACGTGAAATCACAACGCTGCCTTATAGTGTCTAAAAACAACCCAACCATCTGAGCTTGCAGTCCCATTCCTCTGTAGCTGTGAGGCTCTCCCATCCGCCTCCCTCACACACTTTTAGCAGAAATACGGGAAGCTCCTGGAAGGAAGTAATTCTAAAGCTATTTGTGAGTTTGCCAAAAGGATTTCTTTGATTTACGAAGTATGAAAGATTGCCATTTCTGAATTCATAGTGGATGAGTTATTTCCTGTGTTTTGCTCAAAGGAAGTTCATAATGCAATGAATTCTAGTGTGAAAAAGATAATTAAGGAATAACCTTTTCACAACTGCTGCTTCTGCAGTTTTTGCAGCTGTAACATGTGTCTTGTTTCTCCACACAGGCTGGGTTGTTGGATCATTGGAAATTCTTGGAAGCCCAGCTAGTCTGGTGAGAAGCATAGGGAATGGCATAGCTGATTTCTTTAGGCTCCCCTATGAAGGGCTGACCAGAGGCCCAGGAGCATTTGTCAGTGGAGTTTCCAGAGGAACAACTTCATTTGTAAAGCACATTTCCAAAGGTAATGAACTTTTACTTTATTACTCCAACTACTGCTTTGTTGTCATGCATTGTTAAAAGTTTTAAGCATTAAAGTCTGTCCATCCTTCAGTCTCCTGGCCCTGCCATGTCTTGTGGTGCTCTGACAGCGCCAGCTGAAATTCCTGGTACCAGGGCTCAAAAACCAAACAAGTCCTGTTTAACTAAGCTAAAAGGGTAACAAGCTCACATGCAATGTTTCATGTATTAAACAGATCACCACTTTACTGCAGTGCATGAGAATGTTTCAGAAACTTCAGAATTTTAAACCTCCCAGTGGGAAATAGATATTCAGTCAGCAAATATTTCATGTGATAACTGCAGAAGTATTAAAGGTGTTCTGCACTTCTGCTAGCCATCAGAAATTCTACACTCGGTCGCCTCATCATATTTGTTATTTAAAAAAAAAAAAAGTAGATACAGTTGTCATAACGGAGTGAGTACGTGGATAGGATTTGACAGTGGGGCTGGCATGCCATGGGAGCAGGAGGAGCTCTTCCTTTGCAAAGCCTGTACAAACAGTGCCATCGCGTGGCTCCAGCCGCTGCACAGACACAGTGGCTGCTGCTCCAAACCTCCGCTCCAGCCTCCCGCAGGACACGGCCTCACGGCTCCTTCTGTAAATATTTGTTTACCTTTCCATCACCCCTCTTTCCATTTAAATTAGCCTTACACAAGTCAGGGAACTGGAGAAGGATGTTCAGATGAGTTTCTGTTCCCCCTGACCAGGCAAACCTGGAGCAGGCTAATGTAAAAGGCGTGACGTGGACCATAGCAGCAGCGTGGTGATGCTTAACAAATAGTAAAGCGTGTTACACATGGGTGACTGTTCACTTGACTTGCTGTTCTGCTCATAAGCTCAGTATTGCAGTGAGGCATACATCGTCTCCGTGGTTTAAATTAAAGCATCCTGATTCAGACCCAAATGTATATCTCCATGCATTTAGGTACACTGACGTCAATTACCAATCTGGCAACAAGTCTTGCTCGGAATATGGATAGGCTGTCACTGGATGAGGAGCACTACAACAGACAAGAAGAATGGAGAAGGCAGCTTCCAGAAAGCCTGGGAGAAGGACTGAGACAGGGACTCTCTCGTTTAGGCATTAGCCTTCTAGGTAATGTACTATTAAATATCAAGTTAAGTAATAATACTGTTTCCTAATCTGCTCACTAGCCTTTTCTAACTGTGAGTTATAATTTCAAATTTGGGGTAGGGGGGGCTGGTATCTTCTTGTGAAAAAGCCTCTCGCAGTATGTATATTAGATACTGTTTATCAAGATCTGGTGATTTTTGTGTATGATTTTTGCTGATAAAATAATTGTAGATATAGAATGGGTTTGCACTTTCTTTGTGAAATAATATTTTTGCTCATACATGATGTAGATCTGAGTGGGAAAAAAAGAATAATTCTGCATCAGCCAGCGTGACTTGTAACTAATTCAACATGAAGACGTCATCATGCTGATGTTTACTTTCCGATGAATTATAAGAATGCCTTCTGAACCTGCTTGTTTTTGCAGCACTGTAGATATCAGAGATTCTTGAGTTTGTTTGAAAACCACTTCAACTTAGTGCAGATGTTAAGTAAGCTTTGATGAGAAATTCTGCTTTTACAAAGGGACCCAGATCGTCCTGATTCAGTGCAATTTTATTCATCAAGCAGCCAAGTGGTTTGGTTAGAAGTGAAGATTACTCTATCCATTTCAAAATAGTACCTAAAAATTTGAAAACTAACCCACAGTGGAAAAAATCTCTGCGAGAAGTTTTGCAGTAAGGGGCTGGATTTTCTAGGTTACTTCGACTTGTCACACAGCAAAGGAATGCAGAACTGTATTGTTTGGCAGAGTTCCTCAGTATGGATTAAACAGTATGAATCTCTTAGAGATCAAAGTGACCAAAAGCAGTCCAGTGCAAAGGGTTAGAAGAGCTGAAGCTTGAAAGGATTTGTCCTGTTTCCTAATCTTCAGTAGAGTACACAACTCCTAAATTTGCAACCGCAACCCTGAAAGCCCCAAAGAGGAAGTGGTAAAAATGTTACAAGTTTGGGTTAAGTTGCTGGGAATTATTTTAAGCAATAACATTAGGTGATGCGAAGCACTGTCATTTGATGATGCCTGTAAACGGGCAAGCTAGTGTCCTGGGAGGAATGTACATAAAAGAGAAATTCCATATATTAGTAGCCACTGTCCCAATAGTAAGCTGTTACGGGTGTTAGGAATCAAAGGCAGTTTGGAGGAGGTTTTATTTCTCCCTCTTGTTTTATTGGGCTAAGGGCAGTCAGGTTGAGTTGCTGGCTGAAAGATTATACTTCTAGAAGCACTGTGTCAGCCTGGTGTGTATGTGCTGGTGAAATGGTTTGGTGATCTTGGCTCAGTTATTAATAAAACACCGAGGTATCATGGTGTCTGTATCCCCTTCACTGACACACCAGAGCCCTTCAGAGCTAAAAACATCAGCTGTACGGCCTGAAGGAAAGAGCAAAACTTTGTAGCTTTGGCTGTAACAAGGCAAAGTTTCTGCTGTTCAGGAAAGCTGGGAATTCCTCACACACATGCACAAATGTACCGTTCCTGCACGTCCCCGTGCACAAGGATGCCGTGGTTCGCGGCGGTACACCCGAGCTAAAAACAAAACAAAAATATAGAGCTAGAATTCCAGCGTCCCCGATTTCCTCAGAAATCAGACTTCATGTTAGAAGCTTAGAGCTTCATATTAGCATTTAAATAGTGCTCCTCCACAATCTAGGGTCTTGTTTTTATTCCTGCTGTTATTATTTAGAGATTCCTCCCTGCTAAATACATCTTTTCTTAGCAGTGGAGCCAGTGAAGCACCCAGATAAATAGCTACAGTTACTGTATAGCGGGATGTGACAAGTATGGAACTCTCACTAAGGGAGAAATAAAAATATTCCATTTACTTTGTATCAGTTTTTTTATTAAACATGTTTTTTAAAAAGCATATTTCCTCTGTATAGGCAGCAGCATTCATATAAATTTTGTCAAGACCTAAATTAGGAATAGACCTATGTTTCAATTTATACAAATGTGTCAGAAAGCCGCTGCTGTCCTGACCATTTATTTTAAAAAATATTGTGGCTTCCCAAAAAGAAAAAAACGCAGTTGTAGTTGAAGAGATGGTATCACTGTGCCGCTTTATTTCCCCAGTGCATTCAGAATAAACATGAACATGCTTACTCTAAAAACACTTAAGATTCTTCATACATAACAAAGTGAAGTGAAGCTGCAGTTATTTTCCGTCACAAGTTTGATGAGCACAGAAATGCAGAGAGCACGACTATTTGAAGCCGTAATTTCTAATTATGACTTTCTAATTGTAAAATTGAAAAGTGTGAAGAAGATTTCTACGATGGTCACAGTACTCTCATGTTTGTAAAAGCCATCTGACCTGTGCAGGCAGCTAAGACAATGGCAAATGTAGATTTTGTGCCTTGGTGAAGTCATGTGGGAGCCCTCAGTTCACCGATACATTGTGGTATCAACCCAGAAAGTAGAGTTGCCTTTCTGATTTTTCTGAAAATCTGGCTCACGATGGCCCTGATTCAGCAGAGCACTTAAGCATGTGCTTAAGAGCTTTGCTGAATCAGGGCCAAAATCATGTACTCTCATCTCCTCCTCAGTGCAAGTTGTTCCCTGTGGTACATTCTTAAGTGCTTTGTCCTGTCTCATTTTAAATGACTCAAGCGCTGTCAGGGTGTTGTTTGATTTGATTGTTATCTTTGGCCAGCTGTTGTCTTCTTTTCTAGTTTGGGGGAGATTCCTGGGTCGTTTTAGTAACACTTGCACGTGAAAAGAAGTAACAGCTTATGATAGGTGTGGTTTTTTTCTTTCATATGTTTAGGCAAAAATTCAGTGAAATTGTTTGTAAAATATTTAGATGATTGACTCCCCACAGAGGAACTATCCTTTGCATTTTGTGTGACAAGGTCAAACTTAAAATAATAAATTAGAAGCATGTAAAAGAGACTATTGAAACTATATTTTCAACTGCTGGTCCTAGTGAAAAATAATATATTGAAGTGGCTGCCTTTAAGAAGTTGATCATATCTGAATAACTAAAAACCTGACAATTATTCAAAAAGCTATTTTTTACAGTGGCAGAAGTGCTTAGCATTTCAGTTACTCCTTCCTGCTTTTGGGGAAGTGAATTGAGTCATATTGCCTGAGAGTGTAACTGTCCTGGTAGAGAAGGCAAAGCCTGGGTTTCAGATCAGATTTTTGTTATTACAGGTGCTAGTGGCTGTTCTTGCTGTACACTATCACTGAGTCAGGGCCACTCTATGTTTGCCTGTCTACAACACAAGATAGCACAAGCCAGTGCTAATCCTGAAATTGTGTGCTATTCCACACGCTAATTGTTCACCAACATTAATGCATGGCAACAGGTGCTCTTTTCTTTGAGCTGAATTTTTATTTGATGTTTGCTGTGATGAGATTATGCTTCAGCCCCGTTTTTGGTGTGAAATACTTGAGGCAGTCCAGGAAAACAAGAGAGAAAAGGAAGCAAAATGGCTTCAGCTTGGCCAGCTTCCAGCCTCATGGTAAAGCATGGCCAGTTTCTCTTAGTGGGGGATTTTTTCCAATTATGTCTTGCCCTGAAAAAGTTTGTCACAAGCAATCTGAGCTTTGCCAAGGTTTGCAAGCTGTGCTACGTTCACCAAACTTTGTCAGACTGTGCACGGACCAGTTGCTGCCTGTAATCAAATTCTTCTTGAAGTAATCCAGTGATATAGTCTGAACTATCTGAATTTTGTAGTTATCAAAGTAACTTTTTTATTGTTAGTGAACAACATGTATTAACCAGAGTGTACCCCATCTGATGTTTAGCAGATGTTATGTTGTTGCTGGAACCTCTTTGGTCCAGTAATGGAAGAATATGTTTTTGTTTTGTTGCTTTGGTTTTTAATTTTATTGAGGTTTTCTTTTTACATGCATAATCTCTATGTACATATGTGGACATGCATATAAAATCAAATGCCTAGGGTAAGAAAAAAAAAGAACAATGGAGAATGGTTTCATTTAATAAAAAAAATACTGGTCAGGGGACATTACAGGGAAAGGACAGGGACAGCAGTAGGACACTGTGTGTGAGAAAGAATGAGACTGGGAAGGGAGGAACCACTACATGTGGTTCCATGCTCTGCTTTCCTGATACCCTGCTGAAATCTGTTGGGGAGAGACTTTCTGTGGTAAGTCCATCCCTTGTGGTGCTTCTGCCAAGAACTCAGAACAGATGTGCTTTGCACAGTTTCTGGTGTGAGGAGTGCCCTGAACCTCATGTGTGTGTCACTACTCTCACACTGTTGCTGGGTTTTGAGGTTGCTCAGGCGTTGGCCTGTGTTTTTTTCCTTTGCTCACACATGCTGCAGACAGGAAAGGGGCTGCACAGATCTGGATTCCCCACGCAAGGGTAGGGCCAACCAATCCTCAATGAAAGGAGCAAGGTTATTATTTATTTTGTGATTTCTGGGCATGGCCATGACACATAAATGAGTTATGGCAGTGAGTTGCATCTCAAGATAAGGAATTACAGAGGAAATGATCATTGTGATCATTGGTTATATTTTTTGCAGGTAGAAACAACAAGGCTTGCAAAAAGATTTGAGGTACAAAAGGGCAGTGTCTTCACAGGCAAGTTCAGAGCATGCCTAAAATGCCAGAGTAACAGAAAGTGTGGAATTACTAAAAACTGGCTAATTAAGCTATAGATTATTTGGGGCACTACATAAATATTTTTATATAACACAGTCACAGCAGTTTCCATTCTGTTTCCTCATCCTCGGAGCCTAATTCCTGCTGAGCAGTGCCCGGAGCATACCACAGGTCCTTTGGAGTAGGCTCTTATTTATTGTTACCTTATAACTCTGCTCAAGTGTATTGCAGTAAATAATTTACTAGTGCTAGGACTTAGGTGGATTACATTTTATAAGGCAATAACTTCTGTTCTGAAAGTGCAGCTGTTGTGGATGACCTCAATAGATAGGGTGAAGAAGGTCACAGGATAGTATAATATTGTAACTTAGCAGATTACTGAGTATTGTTTTATGCCTTCAAATGCATCCCAATTGCACAAAAGACTGGACAAACAATCCCAATTGTGTAATGTGGTGTTGGGATATTATTTTAGTTGAGCAGCTGGTAAGTAATAATGAATTAAAAATTGTATCATTTCAATGGCATGGCATTAAGGAAAAAGCTTCATGGCCTTTATGGTACAAAAGGTGAATGTTCAGCAGCACGCTCAGCTTCAGTGAGTGACCTCAATTAAAACCAGGCATCACTTCAAAGATAGACCAGCATTTTCTGTGGAAATACTATACTTTTGTCAAAAGGCTAGTCCTACAGAATTTGAAGAATTCTCTCTAAGAGGAGAGGAAGGCATTTATGGGGGATGCAAGTTTCCTGAATTCCTGTGAGATAGTATCCCAGGGACAAGGATCTGGGGAAATGTGTGCTGCTTCTCATCCTCGTCTTTCCTTTGGACAGTGACTGTGCACAAATACAATATTAGTTCTTGTTGTTCAAAGTCAGCAATTTCTTTATTTATCCAGGGACAGTAACTAAAACCATCTGAAAACCAGTTAGCAGCTCACTGCCTAGTGCACGTCACGCTGGTAAACACATGGGGCCAAATACCTCAGTTGCGATTGTCTGAGTCTGTGGAATTATACCTGGATTTCCTTCCACATACAAAGCAGAACTTTGAAAGTGTCTAGGTTGAGGTGAAAATGCCTAGTAACCAGGGTGACACTCAGTCCTACTCCTTAAATAATTGTTTTATCTTGATATTTGCAGCTGCAGGTGCAAACTGAGACCTACCCAAGAAGCCTGCAGGTTTTCTTTTCCCTGAGCAAAGCACCTTGGTCAGGCAGACTGGTGTCGCTTTGTCCAATCCTTGTACCCTAAGCAATCTCCAAATACCTTATCTATCAAAATTACAACAACTAGAGACATGTCTGTGGTTAAGTGGCTAGCATAAACTCAAGATCAAAGAAATGCACATACCTGTTTACATTTAGGAAGATTTAAGTTGAAGCTCTCTGTTGATACTAAAAGCTGGGAAGGTCACTATGTCACTTGTAAAAGTTTGACCCATGCGCATTAAAGTAAAATATGATGGTTTTCACAAAAAGAGTAACAAAAAGTCTCAAAGTCTAATTCTGCTAATCTTAGTAATATATCAAAAGTTGCATTACCTTATGAACATTTCTGGCAGTGGAAGAGGATATAAAAATGATCTATTGAACACAAGCAGTTTTTATTCTCATGAAGTCAATCTCACACTTATATGTAAATCTCATTTCCATAGCAGCCAAGTCATCCAAAACTGGAGGATTTTATTCCTAGCCCAACATTTTCAGAATTGTGACACAGAATGAGCCAAATTAAATTAACTCAGCAAAAGCATTTAGCATAAATAGTTGAAAGAGGAAAACGTACTGTAAAGTTAGGTGATCTAAACATTAAAAAAAAAAAAAGGTTAAGATCTAACTTTACTGAAACTAAGACAGTGTTTAGCTAATTGGTCACATGCTAAATAGCTGTATAAGAATTGGGTACAGACTCTATTCCAAACAATATTCAGGTCCAGTAGTAAGATTTCCTCATATTCCGGAATATTTTTCTTGACTACTTACTGGAGACTCTTGTTTTTTCAGGTGCAATTGCTGGGATTGTGGATCAGCCGATGCAGAATTTTCAGCGAGTATCTGAGGCCCAAGCTTCTGCTGGGCATAAAGCCAGAGGGGTCATCTCGGGGGTGGGGAAGGGAATCATGGGCGTCTTCACAAAGCCCATTGGAGGGGCAGCTGAGCTCGTCTCCCAGACAGGTTACGGTGAGTTTCATATTTCTAACACCTCCATTTAAATTTTAAAATGCTATTTAGATACAACCTGCTAAGTCTTCTTTATCCAACTCAGTATTGTGTGACTTAGAGAAAGGTTTAGAAATGCCACTGCTAAATACTTACAAATGCTCTGCTGCTTTTCTGAAACGCCATCATGTTATGCTTCTCTCTTGTGTTACTGATCAGTGATGTACAGCCACAGAAACACAGAATGCAGAAAGCATGAAGTAATTCTTGGAATACAGTAGAATTAGTTACAGAAACATATGTGCTTGCAAAATAGTTTTTGACATAAAAGGATTAGAGCAACACTATGTCCAATTACAGCGTTATTTTGAGATCGCTTTGTTATGGCAGGGAAAGATTTGGGATATCTCTACAAAGAGAGAGTTACGTTCCTGGGAGAAAGAAGTGAGTCATGTAGTTGGAGCATCCCCTTTAAACTGGAGCTTCACGAGAGGACAGTCCTGTTTTCAGATACATAGGTAACCTTAGAGCAACCAGAGGTGGGGTTTCCAGCTAGACTTAGCACTTAGTGGCACTGGTGCTAAATCCTTTCAAATTGATGGGAACAATTCTGGACAAACAAAAAATGTAAAAGATAAAAATAAAATATCAAAATACACTAATTTATTTGTTTCCAGTGTCAATAAATCACTTTCAGTTTGAATATTTATGAAGAAATGGTGGTTGGAGGGAGTCAGGGAAGAGAAGGACAAAGTATCAATAATTCTTCCTCATTAATTATACCAGACAAACCTTGAATATTTAGGCCTTTAGTCACTAGCAATATTTATGCTTGTGCTGTGTTGATTAGAATATGAGTCGTTCTCATAGAGCTTAAGTTTAGGATGCTTCCCACAACGTTCACAGCTCATTCCATCTAGTAAAAGAAATAATGAAACAATTATTAGAATTCTTTCAGATCTACTTTATCTTCTTTGTATGAGCATACATAATAGCTGCTCTCCTGAATTATATACCCCATTGGTGTAAAACCCATATGAGCAAAATCAGGATTTTTCTGTTGTCAGCTGTCTCTGTGCTGGCTTTGCTGCCCAGGACATTGTTATTACTAGATTTAATTCTGCTGCTGTCTTTATCAAGAAACTCACAGTAGTAGAGGGACACTTTTCATTGCAGATATGGTACATAAGACATCATGTTTTCCATGACCATGTGACAAAAAGAGCTAGCCAGGAAAAAACATAAAACTATATCAATAATAGCTGACAGTGCGTGAGAGGAAAATACACAAGAGTTCAAGTAACTCTTACCCACAACTGGATTGGAAGTGGGACTGTGCCTCTTGGGGGGGGACCAAGGGGTGGAGGACCACACAGAAATAAACACATGTTCTTTCTGTCTCCATCTGTAAATAACATTTTCACTCACATAATGCTGAGAACCTCGGTAAGCCAACTGTTACAACTGGGATGCTGCTTTTAAGTATTACCATCAACATGTGTGCTAAAAATTAAAGGGTTTTTTTCATTGCTGATGTTTTGTTTAAATTATTATCCATTGTGTAGGAGGGAATCTAAGTTATTGACACTCTTATGCAAAAATGCCTTTGGAATTCTTAGACAAAAGAAAATCTCTTCATTTATTTGTAAAGAAGTATATTTGTAAAAGAGTAACTTTGCACCAAACCATATAACACTAGTGCTTGCTGCATAACCTACTCCATGTCTGTTGTGTAAAAATTTTTAAAACTACTTAACTTGTGACTTTTTTTTTGCAACCCACTCATTCTTTCTGGTGACCATACTTAATCACTGAATGTTTACAGGCCATCTGAAATTGTACATACTGTATCATCTTCAGCTTTGGAGAGTCTCTTTAGAAACCTGCTTAACTGCTGCTTGTAGTCTCCATTCTGTGCTGGCACTAAGAAGAATTCACAATAAACCAGATGCCCCAGGAGATCTCATAAATGTACATGGATCTGTGTTTAACAGCTGGATTAAGTAACTGAACATTTAAATGCAGTATCTAGGCAAAGTTGCCTTCTAATTTGTACCAATTGTGACACGTATATGAAAGTATTTTAATATTAAGCAAGAAAGTTAACAATGGTCTTGATTTTTTCTACATAAATCCTAAGTGATGTGTCAAATCCTGCTCTGAAGTGATGGCTCTCAGGAGTGTTATGTTTCTCTTGATTGCAAGTGTAGAGCTGATTCACACAACACACAGTGGGGTTTTTTTTGTTTCTTGCTAAAGCAAGATCATGGGGATTAAGTGCACAACTCTTTCATTGTAATATTCAGTGAATTATCTTGACTACAGCTTCCAGAGATGTGACATCATTTTGGATCTGCACTATTTTATGAACTGCTTTAAACAGGTGACATCACTGCAACACGTAACTGCGTTGTAGAAAACAGCTGCTAAAAAACCTGAATTCTCTTACCACAGGTATTTTGCATGGAGCTGGACTTTCTCAGCTTCCCAAGCAGCGCTCTCATCCAAATGATCAACACGTCGAGCAGGCTCCAAACAGCCACGTCAAATACGTCTGGTAACATTATTTAGATAATTGCTCATTTTTACATCCACATTGTTTATTAATAGGCTCTGGCCTCTGGTCAAGTTAAGAGGAAAGGCTTCCCGAGGAAAGGCTTCCCTAGGAAAGGCTGAGTTATGGCAGTTTGTTTAGGAACATTAAACACAAAGGTAGTGCATAGAAACCCAATCTGCAAATGATGGGCTGCTGATCCGCATCCAGCTTTGAAACTTCAGAGCTGATCTTTATTTAATGGTATTCAGCGAGTTCTTACTTATTTATCATTGCATGGAGCCCAAGAAAAATACTCCACATCTCCAGAAACAGCTGTTAGTGAAGATAGCTTTATTTTCTGCACTGAATTTCTGAGCCACTTCTCAGGGTAATTTTTCTATTATCAAAGAAGTAGGATGGGAAATAGGTTAACCTAGCACAGATATTAGGCCAATTTTGTGGTCTGTGATTAAGGGGTTTTGATAAGTAACAGTTTCACATTCATTCTTTAAATCTGAAATCTTACATCTTTCAGTAATGGACTTTTGGAGTACACTCCCTGGCTTATTTTACATCTGTAGGTGATAGCTACAGGTTTAAGTAAAAACATAGTGATCAAAATAAGCCCTGGAGGATACAATGCACTACACTGACCAGTTCTTTCTTGGCTTTTTTTGGCTTTTTTTAACCTGATAATGCAGGAAAATGCTGCAGTCTCTGGGAAGGCCAGAGGTTCATATGGCCTTAGATGTCATGATTGTGAGTGGATCCGGCCAGCAGCACGATGGCTGCTTGCTGCTCACCTCAGAGGTGCTCTTTGTCGTGAGCATCAGTGAAGACACACAGCAGCAGGCATTCCCCGTGACTGAAATCGATTGTCTGGAAGATGATCAGCAAAAAGATCTGCTGAAAGTGCAGCTAAAACAACAGAGAGTGCCTTCTGACTTGGAGGTAAAGACTTGAGTATGTTTTCCATTCAAAGATGAAGTTACCCTGATGCTGGTGCTTTTGGCAGTGGGAATACTCACCTTTGGGCTGGCAGGCCAGAGGCTGAACTGCCAAACCAGGAGATCTGCGCCTCATAGCTGGCTGTGTTGCCCTTTGGATGAAAGGAATGTGTCTCCTCCCTTCTGTCCTTTTATTGATTGTGATATATCATATCTATGACAGAAATTTTCTGAGGGAAAAAGTAGAAGAAGTCTGAGTTCTTGGTAAGCACCACCTCTTTTCTGAAAAGGTTCTCATGGCTAAATATGCACAAGGTGTTCATTGTTTGGCAAGTCAGTATTGCACCCTGTGCCTACAAAATCCCAGCAAAAGCAGTTCCTTTTATTCTTCTGGGAATTCCATTAACTGTTCAGTGGTGCTGATGCTGCTTTCAGTGTGCCTTTATCTTGTCTTTTCTAGCACACTGGTCTTGTTTGGCTGTATTTACTTCCTTAGTAAATTTACTTCCTTCTGCAAATGCTAGCTTTAAACTGGATTAGTAAGAGCATAAACTCTTCATGTTGAAAGATGTCTAGGCCATTTGAATACAGAGGAGTTTTGAATTAATTATCTTCTTTTAATGGCAGAAGAATGTTATATTTTTACACGTTTGGGAAACAATGTTTATTGTATTAAATTCTCAAGCAGAATCATATGAGAGAGCATTTCAAAAACGAACATGCATGTCCCAGTTTTTATAAAAGTGTGCCAGGTAGTTTATAGACTGCTATACCAGAAATTTCTGTTTCAAATACGAGTAAAGAACATATAAAAGCCCTGAAGTATGAGGTGTGACAAAAAGTAGGAGCACCTTCAGTTAAATCCCAACTTTGCTGAAGTCACTGAAGAGTTTTGCTGTTGGCTTCAGCAAGGATTTCATCTGTGTCGTGACAGCCCTTGAATATTTTTGTGAAAGCTTTCTTTCGTGCTGAATTCTTTATTTATATTTATTGTCTTTCCACTAACCTCAGTCTCATAGAGGACTGTTGACTGAAGTTGCCTTCTCTCACCACAAAGCTGCATGAGGGATTACTTAAACTGTGAAGCAAGTGGGAAAAGCTCAACTTTTTTTGTCCCTGAGTGCTGAGGGGTTGGTGGAGGCACACATCAGACTATCAGAGCCCAGACTCTCCTGCTCAGTCCAGAGCTACTGTCCTGGAGGGAAGAAGAAGAAGAAGGTTGCTCACACTAAGGCACTAGATGCACTTAACCTATCCTAACCCTAACTTTAGCACCAACCCAGATCTTTTTTTTATTGGATTGGAGTGTTGTATTTGCATCTGGTTTTCTGAGGGGTGAGGAGTAGGCTGCTGCTCTGGGGGAAGGGCACCTTGCCCAAAGATTGCTGCAAGTGAGTGATGGAGGGTTTCTGCCTGTTTGGGAGAAGGGAAGGCGAGCGGCAGGGAGCCTAATCCTAGTCCCTGCAGCAGGGAATGTGTAGGATTTAAGGGCAAGTGGGGCCCCTGAATGCTCAGAGCAACCCTGCGTGGCATGTGCAGAGTCCAATGTTCCCACACACACACACTCATAACACCCTCCTGTGGAGGTACTAGACCAAATACATCATTTTTTCCTGAAGTTCTGGATGGAACTGTGGGAGTCCTACTCAAGTGGTGCAGCAATGCAGCTCTAGGAGCTGTAAGCCTTGAGCCCTCAGCCTGAGTACAGCATCTCTTTTGCTGATACAGGCTCTTGAGAATACAGTGAAAATGTAGGGCATGGGAAGAACTAGGAAAAGTGCCTGTGTCCCAGGTGGAGTCAAGTCAGTGATGGCAAGACAGCAAACGTTGAGTAATGCTGTACAAAACAGACCTGGCAAAATATTCCTTTAGAATTCAGACACTGATACTGAAATTCTTGTAAAAATTTAAAGAAATGTGCTGTGAAGAGAAGCAGTTGAAAGAAACAGAGAATAAAAAAAAAAATTTTTTTTTATGTTAAGGCAGCTAAGGCAGCTACACAATAAAAGATTCCAAAAAGCTTCATATACAGTTTTAGTAATTAAAGTGTTTTGCAATTAATATTTACTATATTTTTTTAGTGTACTGGGAGATTTCATACTAAGTGCTTTGCTTTCTGCAGCTGCATCTGTGGTCTGGGTGTCACATGCAGCACTGGTGCTGATGGGAGCCAGAGCTTTTCTTCGGTTTCCTGACAAGAGTTTCTACAAAGTCTTCAAATGTGATTAGGAAAAGGAACCTTAGGAGGAGCAAGCTGTGACTTGTGGATGAGCAGCCTCTAAGCTGCAGAGCGATGCCTGAGCAGGCACAGCTCCTCAGTATTAATAATAGGCTATTGTGTTGAACTGAAGGTGTCCTCAGCTGAAGTACAGACATGTCTGTGCACAATGGCATTTGCAAAGATGGCCTCAATTTTTAGCTGGAAAATTTCCAGTCAGGTCAACCAGAATTTATTTTGAATTTAGTAAAACAGCTAATGTTACCAAGTGTAAGTTATCTCTACTATTCTGATTAATTTAGTCAAAGATGCTAGAAATAATACAACAAATTGAAACATTTCATTTCAAGGCTATAAAAGTCCACTTTTTTGCATTACTGCTCTCAAAAACAATTGCCAAAAGTTTCGTTTCAGCTCTGCCCAAAACAGTTTCTCTCATTCCCTCTCCTCAACTTCTTGGAACATTTAAGTAACAAAACATGAGTTATTCTACATCTGTAATCACCAGAGATGTTATAGAGCATATTTTGACTCCTTCAGCAATAGGTTTGCCTGATGCCTTGTTCGCCTCCATAATATATAACTTAATCCATCTGGATAGGACTAGCCTGGATGGCTTCTTAAAAACTCTGGCACTGACAAGTTTGTTATTGAAAGGGAAGCATTAATTGTATTTGGATTATCTTCCAAAGTAATTGAGACGCTGCTGGTTTCCAGACAGATGTCAAACTCAAAAGGCCTGCTCTTCCAGCTGCTCTTGGTATAGCTCATAACATCAAGAAGACAACAAAAAAATTGAAAGGCCCTGGAATTTCAGATATTCCAGAATTTTTTTATGTTTGTTTTTTGTTTTTTGTGATAGTCCTACATGTTACCATCTTTGGAGCTGAAAACCAATCTTTGGATTTCTCAAAGCAATGGAAAAAAAAAAAAATCCTCAAGAGTTTGATCTCCTTAGTCAGTGTTCACAGAGTAGATCAGTGCTACACCCATCTGGACTGCACAGCACAGGTGATGTAGCTGCTGTGGAGTTAGAATTACTGAAGGTTTATTCATTATAAACTGTAATGGGAGGAATTTTAGAAAATACTGGAGTTCTTAACCCAAAAGTATGGCCTTATAGTATGAATGGAGATGATATCTGTGATGTTCCTCTAGGAGGTGCATTAAACAAGCCTTGATCAAGTTTTGAATCCTTGAGTGATCTGGATATTAACATGATAAATGTTCAAAGCAGCAAGTGAGGACACTTAGTGACAATTCTAGGTCCCATTTAGGAAAAAAAGTAGAATAACATCAATTCCAGATTTTTCTTGTCTTGGAAATATAAGCCAAACTGAAACTGGCTGCAGAAGCAGACAGTTACAGATGAAGTCACCTAAAAGCAAGCAGGGTCCCAGTTACTTTGGAAGACTATCCAACCATATTTAATATTTCCTCCTGAATAATTATGCTGTATCTATGGAAAATAGCCTGAGGTTGAATGAATAATGGGTTCGCAAAAGTAGGTGAGTGGGATGTCAGCACCATTTCTATCTCCTTTGGTAAGCAGGATCTTCTGGTCAATGTGGAGGCAAAACCCAGCTGTCCCTGGCTTACCTCCCTAGGAAAAATCAGGAAAAAGTGTGAAGCCACCTACATGCAAGCTTTACCCTGTAACTTAAAATCCAGTTTACATAGGTGGTACTCCAGCATATTTCTCTCCTTTCAACTGCTGAAACAGACTGACTGCTGAGATACTTTTACTGAGCCACCAGACCGAAGACGTGGTTCAGACACCGTTCTCTGGTGCT